GATATTTCCAAGGTAATGATCATACTCAGGGAATATGACTTTAAAGAAACTTTAAAGATAACAGCCTACGCATGAGGTCCATCTTGAAATTCTTCATAAGTTCTTCAGAGATAATGAATCATATGTGTCACAGCTATATAGCTAATACAAGTAACAACTTAATAGATACTATATGTAACAGCTAATTACATATGTGTAACATTTAAATATATAATACGTACATCTTAACAGATAATATGTGTAAGAGCTAAAACGATAATGTGTGTGACTTACCATGCCACATTCATAACGGAGGTGATGAGAGTTGAAATGAATTAGAATAGTCTTTATGAATGCATGTAAGATTGTTAGAATAGTCTTTATGAATGCATGTAAGATTATTAGAATAGTCTTTATGAATGCGTGTAAGATTATTAGAATAGTCTTTATGAATGCGTGTAAGATTATTAGAATAGTCTTTATGAATGCATGTAAGATTATTAGAATAGTCTTTATGAATGCGTGTAAGATTATTAGAATAGTCTTTATGAATGCATGTAAGATTATTAGAATAGTCTTTATGAATGCATGTAAGATTATTTGCATATATAACGAAGTGAATGAACCTGTTTGTGCGTATGTTGTTTTTGTGTGTGTGTTTGTGCGTGCGTGCGTGTGTGCGTGCGTGGTGTCCGTGTGTGTGCCTGTACTAGTTCGGATCAGTGCTGGATCTACTATCGTAAATTCACATGCGTACCCTAGCGTTATACTGACTCCATGCCGACCAGTCCATCTGCAGTCCCATTAATGCCAAACGCTTGGAAACATATCACTGTATGAGTGTTGTATCTTCGAGTGGTTGTAGCTGTCTTAGTGACACTGCAACTTGTAGCTCTTTCATCTGTTACGGCTCTAACAAGCAGAGGAGACTAATCAGCTCGAATAGGGGCTCAAGTGAGTAAGGGAAGAATGTATCCTCGCATTGTGACTTATGTCAAATAATAATAGCAAAATTTTAATGGAGTGAGTGAGTGAGTTTAGTTTTACGACGCACTCAGCAATATTCCAGATATATTGCGGCGGTCTGTAAATAATCGAGTCTGGACCAGACAATCCAGTGATCAACAGCATGGGCATCGATTTGCGCAATTTGGAACCGATGACATGTGGCAACCAAGTCAGCGAGCCTGACCACCCGATCCCGTTAGTCGCCTCTTACGACAAACATAGTCGCCTTTTGTGGCAAGCATGGGTTGCTGAAGACCTATTCTACCCCGGATCTTCACGGATCCTTATTTGTATCAACTTGCATTGGGGTTAAATGGGGTGAACAGACTCTTACGACAAGCATGGGTTACTGAAGATCAATTGTAACAGGGATCTTCACGGGTTTGTTCGTATACGAGTTATCATAGATTTCATATCTTCAATTCCAGATTGCACAGACTCCCACCGACCTCACGAGAACGACACCAACAAGTTCCAGGTGTTCCACAACAATGTCTGGTGGGACCAGGTGTGTCAGACCGGCCTCATTTGGAACCAGACCCTTTGCAGGTGCGAGTACTCCTCAGGTTTGAAGAGGATGCCCAAGTGCCCCGACTACCGGGCCCACAGCAACGACACCAGCAAGTACGAGCAGTTGGTCAACAGCAAGTGGATCATCCGAGAGTGCAATCTGGCTGTGACCGGTTTACTCTGGAACCAGACCGCCTGCAGATGTGTGTGGGGCCCAGATGGTGAAAAGGACTTCCTGTCTCGCCAAAGTAGGTCCCGAGGCTGAATTTGTTAGGCTGCAAAAAATGTTTAATGTTTACCCTATATACTTTTCAAAACGTGAAGATGTAGAACTTTCTTATTGAAAACCGTTTGGTGTTATGATAAGCACAACCAATAATCACACATTGAACTGGATTCCATCATGCAAAACCATCTGTCAAGTATATTTTATGGGAGTGAGTGTATGTGTGAGTTGGGTTTTACACCACTTTTAGCAATATTGTGAGCACAAGAAATGGGCTCACACACATGGGGGATCGAGTCCTGGTCTTTGACTTGACGAGCGAACGCTTTAACCGCTAGGCTGCCACATCGCATGTTTCACTTGACACGGGAAAACGGAAAATACGTTTTTGTTGCAAAAATACATGAGTGTCGTGAATGAAGCTTTTCCGTTTTGCAACTTATACAAAAGATGTGAGTGATTTTTTCTTAAACGCCACAGAATGCAATACCCATGCCTATATCACAGTGCCTTGCACTAATATATTATTCACAACGTTCCACTCAGTCGGACCTCCATGACACAGTACCGAACCTGACTACACCATTAAACGCCACAAGGATATCGGAGCACGAAGTTCATGATTCTCATGTATGCCATGTACTGCATACGACATATTCTTGTTGTACGTTTTCACGTATTTATGCATTTATTATATATCTTTTATCCTGTATTTCAATCCTGATTACGCAGTATTTCGTTTCTTTGATGCTGTATTTTATGGACTTTCTCGCACACTATTTGTAACAAATGCCAATTACTTGTCGAAAACCGTAACCAGTAATTCTGAAGGAATCCGTTACCCCGGTGAAGAAAATGATTCATAAGTACACCGCCAGGCACAGAAAGTATACACTTGACAGCCTCATTTGACCCCAAGATTACAAAACTTACTGACCCGTGAAGATCCGGGTTAGAATTGATCTTCAGTAACCCATGCTTGTCCTAAAAGGCGACTAACGGATCTAGTGGTCAGGCTCGCTGACTTGTTGACACATGTCATCGTATCACAAATGCGTAGATCGATGCTCATGCTGTTGATCACTGGATTGTCTGGTCTAGACTCGATTATTTACAGACCGCCGCCATATAGCTGGATTATGGCTGAGTGCAGCTTATAACTAAACTCACTCACTCACAAACCTTACTAAACCTTACTATTCTTAACGCAGTCGCGAAAAAACTGCAAACGAATGTTCTTAAATACAACTATGGCACCTTTGTCAAATCCTTTATCATCGGATAAGTGGTTATACTTCCGGAAGTAATCAGAGGTGAGGTGAGGTGAAGTGAATTTGGGTTTAACGTCGTGCTTGAGAATATTTCGCTCATATAACGACGTGCATGCGTGTGTATGTGTATGTGCGGCTTCTTGTACTAGCCCAGACTTAAGCTGGTTTTATAGTGCTAGCCCACTGAGATACCATGCCGCAGTGAAGCATGAATACCCCACTCCGACACATTATACTGACTCCGAGCCGACCAGTCCTTGTTGTACCCATTAATGCCGAGCGCCAGACAGGGACCAACAAGTACCATATTTTAACGGCTTTTGGTATGACGCGGTCAGGGATCGAACCCGCGGCCTTCCGCTCTCCGGGCGGACGCTCTAACCACTACACCACGGAGGCGGTCGGAAGTAATCAGAACAATAGTTTACCATAAAAGTAAGCGATATATAATCATGGGATAATTTTGTAGTTCACTTGTAAAAACATATATAAAAAGCAGAAGCGAAAACGAGGAGCGGCGAAAATGTTCTCATTGTCCTAAATAACGGCTAACAACCTTGGTGACCTGACAATTATGAAGTAGGTCTTAGCAGTACTCCTTTACTGAAGGAGTGCTAATGGATCTGTTTACTGTATTTACTAAATAAATGTCTTGTCTTACAGGAGCCACACCATGCGACACAATGTTCAATGTTACATTTGACAACGGCATCCTTGACAACGCAAAAAGCTCCTACATCGAGTTGTCACCAAGTGCGAAGATATCCCTTCGCGAGTCCACGCAAAAGGGTAATAAGTACGCATACTTGGAGGATGGATATATGAACGTGTGGTACTTCGCCGGAAATGAACTCAGCGAATCTCTACGCGTTGAATTCAGCTTCAAAGCTGAAGATAATCCAACAACACGTGACAAATACCAGATCATCTTGTCCAATGGGTGCAACGTAACTGCCCTTGGTTACACGACCCCGTCTCTTGCAATTGGCTACAGGGCAGCGGACGAATCCTTCCTTCTCGCCTTCGAGACGATCAACGTGAGGAAAGCCATTGTCTGTACACGCGAGCTGGTGAGTGTAGGAAAACAAAACAAATAAAAACATTGTCGTCTGTTTGAAATTGTGTGTCAGAGAGTTTGGCTGTAAATATGGAAATATTTCTAAACGATGTTAAAGAAATAATGCTCCCTTCATCACAGGAGTGCTAAAATCAGTTTTGCACTTGTAGCGCATCTGCTCTTGTATAAGACTCAAAATAGCTTTTGAGTTGAAGTCGTGGCTATCAAACAATCTGAACTATTAAATCAGTTAAATATGTAATGCATAAAACATACATAAGAAGGTCACACAATAAATTTCAAAACGCGCAAACATTAAGGATACCCAAAAGTGCATTTCGTGGTTTTACACGACGGAAGATGACGGAATATACGACTTCCACCATTCAACAAGTGAGGTTTACATGAATTGTTGACCACAGTGTCTAATAGAGTCTTATATTTGCTCAAATCGTCTCATGAGAATTATAACACCATTCTATTTGAATGGTGAGTACTTCTTAGCGCGGCTGAAATGAGTTTGTTTCAGCATGTTTTTGATCAATGGATGACCTACGGTGTTAATTCCTTATTTCATAAATGGGTGGATATGTGTTCAAATACTTTCGTTATGTTCTGTCGTGTGGTCTGTTGACAATGTTTAAACCGTCAGTTCCGATGTGTTCGTTTTCGAGATTAAGGTCTCCAGTTCTTTTTTTCTGTTAAGGATTCCCTCTTTAGTTCCCCTATGTTTTGATATCATGATTTAAGTCTGCAGCTCTTCTTTGTTCCATTGTCGCTGAATACGTTTTTAATCCAAATATGTTCTATTGGCTCCGGCCAAGTCTTCAATTCAGACCTGTTCTATTGTCATGGTGTTAGTCAGTATGATCTGTTGTCAAGGTGTAACTATCCATTGTCTGTGTTCTGTTGTGTGTCCTATTATTTCCGTCTATTGCAGTCACCATATGACTGGCACCGGGTGTCCCTCATCTACGAGGACGGCACGCTCCTACTGAGGGTGGACAATCAGCCGTGCATCATTTCTGAAGACTTCACTGGTACGTATGGCACATACACTTAACATCCTTGAGTCGAAAGTTCATTGACCGATCACAAAGATTTTGATCATGTCTTTCTTTAATTGAATACGCAAGGAAGACATTTCATAAGTATGTATTCATCTACATAACTGAAACATCTATTGTTTCTTTTTTATTTTATGAATAACTAAGCCTTTCTTTTACCTTTAACTGTTCCATACAGTAATCTACTCCAGTTCACGGTCGTTATCATTTTTGTGTTGAATGACAATGTGGAATTGTTCTGGGATTTGTCCTCACTCGAATGAGTTTGACACAACAGTGTTCATGTGTATATCATTAATCTCTAGTTTCGATGCGAAAACAATGATTTCCGTAAGCTCCTAAGACGTATATTGGGTTAAAGAAGCAGGCTTTTGGGTCTTACTAATAACACCAGACCGGAAATACCAACCAACTTGTGGTTTTCAGAAATATATTGTACGGGGTCCCTCTTATTCATGCCTTCCCCAAAACGACAACAACGTAACACCTGTCTCAACTATAAAACTTTAACTTACGACAGTTAGCGACGATGGTATTGTCAGAATGGATCCGGATCTGATTTGAATTATACAGTGATGCGACCATGGCGGAAGGCTTTTACGGCCGCTTCACACACAATAATATGGAAGCCTGTTAGTGCCACAGTGTAGAAAAAAATGTCATCTTCGTAGAAGATAATTCCATAAAGGAAGGAGATACTTTCATCGACGAGGATCATTCTTCCATCTACGTAGAAGATGCTTAGATCTATGTACAGATATAAGATCCGTGTAAAAATATCTTGAAGAAAACGTTATTGTGATCGTCATCAATCATTTCCTTTCTTACCAGGTCCCGTACAGAAGACGTCTTGCCCGCTGACCGTGGGTACTGATCCTTTAGAGAAGGAGACGAAATACAGAGGTTACATTGACGATGTGAGTTTTGTGAGAATCAAATAATAGTTGTTATCGTAGTTTTCTACATTTCATATCCTTATCGAGTTGTATTGGAAGGTGGTGAATCCTAATAGACTGACTGACTGAGTATGGTTTTACGCCGTTTTTAGCAATAATCCAGCAATATCACGGCGGGGGACACCATAAATGGGCTTCACAAATTGTACCCATGTGGGGAATCGAACCCGGGCCTTCGGCGTGTGGAGTGAACGCTTTAACCACTGGGCTACCACCACCACCAAACCACCCCACCCCCAAACCACCCCACCCCCAAATTGACAGTTTCGATAAACCGCTACGATAAGTAACCTGTGAAGGTCCGGGTTAGAATGAACCTTCAGTAACCCATGCTTGTCGTAAGAGGCGACTAACGGGATCGGGTGGTTAGACTCGCTGACTTGGTTGACCACATGTCATCGTATCCCAATTGCGCAGATCGATGCTCATGCTGTTGATCACTGGATTGTCTGGTCCAGACTCGATCCTGACCACCCGATCCCGTTAGTTGGTTGATGTATGTCATTGTATCCCGCTTTTTGGTGCTCCCGAATTTAATTCACTGGATTGTCTGATCCAAACTCGATTATTTACAGACCGCCGCCATATAGCTGTAATATTGCTGAGTGCGGCGTAAAACTAAACTCTCTCACTACGATAAGTAAATGTGTGTAGAGGATTTTGGTATTTTGTTTTACCAAAACGTTCATGTTTTCATATACATAATTTGAAAGAATTGTCTTACTCATTTGTACTGAAATTATTTAGGGAATAGTTATTAGAAGAAGACTATTTTAAAAGTGGCGACTTTGAACAATATTTGGACAATGTTCTCGATTCAAAATTTTAACGCTGAATGAAAGAAAAATCTGGATTGTCTTTACATGGCCGAAAGTGTATAAAGCATTAACAACTGCTATCTAAAGTCTCTTCCGGTTCACATTTTTAGCCCCTTGAAGTGCAACTGTCGTTCGAAATGCCCCGTGTTCACTTTTCCGAGGCAAGATCTTTCACTTTAGTAATCTTTGATTGGCCAGATGAAATTTCCTTCTGATTTGACTTGTAATGGGGCATCCTAAGATCTTTTTGTATCGATAGCGAGCACTTCGAACTGTATATATCATAAATGTTTAATGCAAGTCCCTTAGGCTTGACAATCACGTTTCAGTAAAACAATCGCATTTTGTATCTTCTAGATCCTGGTCGCCAGATACTGCAGACGATTCGTGGAACAAGTACCACTTGACGACTTTGATCTCCATGACTACAACGAAGAAGAGGCAGATGACACAGAGAACTTGATTGACACATTCTCAAACATCGACGTAGGATTCAAAGCATTGCTTTAAAACCACGATTACCTACAGCAGACAGTGACAGATGTGTGCGCTGAGAATTTCACCACAAACAGTGGGACATTTGCAAGTATGGTCCCCGACTAGTTGTAGTCTCGTGGACATCTCGCGAGATTTCCTGCAACGTGACTTCCGCCATAGCCAAGTAGAGGCCATGCGTGGCTTCGCGTAGCCTGGCTACTTGTGTTTCATGAGCACCGATGTGTATTCTTATTTATTGTCGTCGGATGTGGAACATGTCCTTTTATAATATATATTGGTCTTTTTATGTATTTTCTGGAATAAACTTTTAAAAAAATACAACTATTTGTATCCATGAACGGTAAGTGTAACGCGTCCCGTCAAGCCATCCCTGACGTTGGGATAAGCTAACTGATATTAGCCTTTCGCCAACACCAGATCTCATGACCAATTTTCAATGTATTCATATAGTTTTCAAAGTTTGTCTTCTTTTGCGTCCATTGGAACATGACACATTATCCTTAGCGTTAAGTAAGCGCAAATTATTGTGAAACATATCTGCGAATGAAATGTTTTTACATGCAAAGACAAATATTTTGATGTTGCAAGGTAACGATCAACTGTACAATGGAACATTGCACCTAACATGTGGAAATGAACCACAACAGAATAGTCGGTTGACAAGCAACATCACACGGTCTGTAGCGAGTGTGTCCACCTTGTGCATTGATGCAGATCTGGAACCCCTTTGTCTCATTGAGGCCACTAAACACTGTTGAAAGTCCCGAGGAAAACGATTTCACGCCGGGAGAAGGATATTGCCGCGTTCCCGCAGCGTTGTTGGAGGATTCGGTTGACGTCGTCGACGTTGCTCTTTTTCATGCGTTAAATTGGTGACAAACCTGGGCATATCACATTAACATTGTTCTGATTAAAACACTGGAGTACAACTGAGCTATATCTGGCGTTATCGTTCTGTTGCAAAAACGGTAAAGTGGCCATTTACAAACTATCGTCTCGGTACCTCACAGCCTGCAAGTTTCCCTCAATCACAACCATTGGCGTCCTTGCTACAGCTGTTAGTTGACGCCAGGTCATAACTCCCCGCCACGAGCACCTGGCCTGACGTAAGGTTCACCTGTGGGCCTGTAGACTGAAGGAAACATGACTCATCGGGGAAGAGAATGTGCTTCTCGTCGTCGAGTGTTGTCTGCTCCACTGAAGACGTCGACGACCTGGCGTCAGACGTAGACGGGTAGACATTGTCAAACTGTCCTCCTCGAAGATATACCTCTGTAGCCAGGTATGGTGCGAGCGGTTGAGGGTTGCTGGTTGGAACCTGTGATGGAGTTCGAATCCATAGGTCTTGGGGCTGTTACTGGTAGGCGGACATTATGGGGACGAACTATAACTTGATTGGTTTGCTTAAAACGTCGCCTATGGAAGTTGAATCAACGAGCAACGTCACGCTGCTAGGTAGAAGGGTTACGAATACCTATACCTCATCAACTGCTATTTTCACCGAGGTGTGGCATGTCGAACTTGTTCCTTTCGTAGACTATTGTAACACACTCTTTCTCAATTTCAAATCCAAAAATTCTTTCACAAGACTACCAATGAAAGTATTCCACAATAACTTTTGCCCCTGAGTATGCTATAAGATCTAATATCGGTGCTCACCGTTTAACGATCTGCGGCTAAGTCGACATCTGTTCGCTAGTCCCAAGACTTCAAACCAACTACTAATTCACCGACAAGAACTGCAAGTTATGATCATAATTCTCCACGTCACTCTTAGACCCGGTTTGTGTGGTGGCCACTGCCATTGTTTAGATCGATGGGACATCCCCCTGACGTAATTCTAAATGTCGTTGGCTGGGTGGTACAGTGTTTGCTCGTTACAATAAAGGCGATGTTCGTTTCTAAATGGGTACAATAGGTACAAAGCCCATTTCTGGAGGCTCCAGCCGATATATGGTGTGAATACTGTTAAGTGCAAAGTAAAGTGTATTTTAAAGCGAGTGGCATTCACGTGGGAGCTTAATTTGGGAGACTTTCATCCCTTAAAACGTTCATAGATCCTGTATTAGAATGACATTTAGAGTTTACTGAGTTTAGTTTTACGCCGCACTCAGCAATATTCCAGATATATGGCGTTTAGAAGTGATACACATAAGGAAGAGAGTTTTGTGGATGACACCTTCTTTTATATGAGGAACACAACTTTTAGGAGTATGATCCTTACTCCTTCATCGGGTGAATATACTCCGAAACGTTGTGTTCCTCATAAAAAAGAAGTTGTCATCCATAAAACGCTCTTCCTTTATGGAGACTGTGGTTCAAGGTATTACGGATACTAGTGCAGAGTCAATACCTGATTTCCTTGCTCATCCTCTCACATTACCTTGAGTTAGTGAGTGAGTGAGTGTACACTTTGAGCATAGTCACATACGAATACCAGTTTGGATAAGCCATATGGACATGCCTCAGTTACCGAAAACCAGCCAACCATAGTAATCGGATTTGAATATGCATTGGTGAAGTTTGGTCCACTTTATTCTCAATCTTCTCTTAAATTAAAATTGAAAAAAACATTACGAAAATGCAAGATACATTTGTCAGTTACCCTCTCCACAGAATCGTTTAAACACACCCACCATTCTTGTTGGATCTAGCATTCTTGTTGAAAGGCAGTCGAGTGAAGGAGTGTTTGTTTTGAGATTTGGGTTGATGTTGACATGAAACGGAAGTTAATGCAAACGGATTACGATTCTCTGAAGGTGTAGAAAGATCGCTTAGTTGATAATATTTGACCGGTGGCGAAAAACAAAATCAAATATTGTCTGGACACGTGCGACACACAGACTTCGTTCAACAAAACAAAACGACATCTACCTGAATGGAAGGAGCACGACAGTATTCTCAAAGACTTCTGTTATAATTCGACTGGTTGATCTTTTTCTTTATTTTAAAAGTTTATTTATTAAAAGATGTAAACACAATTTTGAATCTGCTGTTGCAATAAAACTGGGCAAGCCAAATTTCTTTAAAAATGTGTGTTGTGGATGCCCAAGAATTGTTTCCTCGACGTCTTCTTAAATGTTGAGATAAAAACGCTCTTTGTAATAAAATTAATCTTAGAGTAAGAGAGTCAGTGAATGAATAGTTTCACACCGCCCGCCTTTAGCCTTATTACAAAATATTTACTTAGCTCCTTTGCACTTTTTAAATCAATGTTTTGAAGACGTGTATACAAGACAGGAAAACCTTAATACAATAACCCAACGCAATGATGTTGGTGTACGACACTCTGCATTTATAAACATTTGTAACAAGCTTCAGTCAGTAATGTTTATCAACGCAACGAACAGTATACAGTGCTATCACAGCGTGATGCCGGAGCGAATGAGCATGATTTGACAACACTTTATAATGTTCCAGCAATATGGGACACCAGAAATAAGATTTACACAATGTACCCATGTGCACAGGGGCTTGTAACGCTAAAAACTGCCATCAAGGTATATACTGTCACTGACGGGGTCACTGACAGAGTTGTGTCGTGCCCGTTCGCCATTGACGACCTTGGCTTTAACCTGCCCCGCACTAAAAAGAGTCAGCGATTTGATGGGACATATTTTATTTTTAGCCAATGAGCTCCCTTACTCTTTTCAGTGCGGGGCAGGTTAAGGCCAAGGTCGTCAATGGCGAACGGGCACGACACAATTCTGTTTGCGATGAATAAATGTACGTAAACTCATTATGAGAGTGAGATGTAAGTGTCTCCGAAAGAATGGCGACTCGCGCTTACAGGCGCCTTCAGTTCAACATGTTTTGGTGCATGTCGTCTGTGTATACTGTGAAATAAACAAGAAAATGGGTGAGTTACTGCTACAAATTCTGAGCAGGGATTTTGGTTCGGAATCGAGAAATGACGATTTTTCGAGCTTCTGAAGACCCTAGCTCCCAAAGTACTGCTTCGATTTTTGTGCTGTATGTCTCATTTTGTAGGTAAATCTATTGGCTTGAAATGTGTGCATACTTTAAATGGAATAAATACATTGAGCATTATTGAATTCGCCCTTAAACGAACTTGGTGTGTTGACCTCGTTACATCACTTTCCTTTTATATAGTATTAAGACCCCGTCAGTGACAGTATATACCTTGATGGCAGTTTTTAGCGCTACAAGCCCCTGTGCCCATGTGGGGAATCGAACACGGGTCTTCAGCGTGTCAGGTGAACGTTTTAACCACAAGGCTACTCAGTGTGATCTGGCGAGCTCGACGTGATGCAGGATGATGAACATGTGGAATCCGCGACTACGGTGTTGGTAAACCAAGGATGACACAAGGATGCAAGACGAACCCATGACCTCTACAGGGCGTGTTACGTCGCCTAAAGTGACAAGGTCGTCGGTGGCCCCAGTATAAAAAGACTCATCAAATACAGGGAATGGCTCATGTTGACCGTGCATTGAGATTGTCAAGTGAAGTTTGGCTGTGTTAACTAGTCAGGTAAACAAACGTACTCTGACAGGTGCAGTGTTGAGGTTCTGGCCATTACTGGACGACATCTAGGCTTAGACGTCAAAAAATCCTTAAAGATCAAATATACTCCAGGGGGGTACAAATACATAAATCACTAACTGGCATTAAAACCCCGTCATTAAAACTACTCATTTAGATCTTTAATTAATTTAAATCGACCTTTTTGACAACAGTGCACAATTCTCACCCGCGAACGAAAACCTCTGATGAATACTATAATAAGAGGTGAAAAATATATCACTACTGACAAACCTTTCTTAAGTTCTTAAACTGTTCGTAAGGCTTTGTAGCGGTATTCAGTTGGCTGGTAAAATCTCCCTTTGACAAACAACACGATAGTGATATCTCACTTGTGGCATGGATTTAATAGCGACAATACATTTAAATTATTTGTACATTGTGGTGATTCTAATGCTATAAACTACACGACAAAAATAACTCACACATGCAGAAAACAACACGCATGCAATACTTGTGGAGAGAGGCCACAGAAGGGAATTACTTCTGGCCCACTGGACGACAAAAGTCACATTGAGAATGGAATAAAATAACTCGTTCCTCCATCTTGAAAAATCAAGGGTCAAGGCCACTGGTCCAGTGACCCGGACATAGGGCTCCTGATGAGACACATTCTGGTAGTATTTTACTGTTGCGGGCAACCACGTGTGATTACCATCTGGAAAGAGATGATGCCACATACAGAGCATATTCTGCCGTTATACATATGCAAGTACAGCAAACGTACAAGTTCATGTCACAGACAGCATGCAATTACCTCAGTGAGGTGTATATCTAGGTTTATAAGTCCACCAAGGAATTCGTTTAACTGAATAAACTTACAGACAATTATTTGTATACTAGTATTTTTATTAGTTATTGGAAATAACATATGAAACGCGAATGCCAACTCCATGCTATGAAATTCGTTCGTGATCATTCGGGTAGGTTGAGCAGAGTTGTTCGATGCCAAAATTGATAAAACTTTTGAAACCAATTTACTGCTGCTCCCATAGTGATATTGCTGAAACATTGATAAAACCGGTTAAACCCATACTCACTCACTCACTCTTCCCGAGTGAATAGCGGTGGGGTAGCCTAGGGATTAAAGCGTTCGCTTGTCACGCCGAAGACCCGGGTTCGATTCCACACATAGGTACAATTGTGATGCCCATTTCTGGTGTCCCCCGCCGTGATATTGCTGGAATATTGCTAAAACGGCGTTATATTGAACTCACGCACTCTTTCCGAAAACAAAGTAAACATCACATTTACAAACCTCGTCAAGGTGAACACATGATTTTTCCCCAGGGAGCGTCAAGGGGCAGTCAGTTGTCTTGATGTCCCCTGAAAAGTACGAATATTTGAATAGTTACACTGACCAAATCGGACCAAAATGTGAATTGCAAGGTTCTTGATAAGACCATTCAAAGAGCAGTTACCACCCAGAGTGGTTTGACTTCAATTTCCTATATTATATGCGAGAAAACGTTTACGTAATCAAAAGAAAGCTCTGCATCAAGCAAAGTGTTCGATTCCGTCTGAATCATAAACAATTGTTAATATGGTGATATTACCACTTGGCACCCGTCACTAATACAAGCCAAGTGCTCACCTGAACAAATCTAGCAACATTGGGTGCAGCACTCGGTGTAACTTACAACTGCAAAGCTTCACTCGTAAAAAGCAACCTCACTTCAACATTCAGTCACACCTACTGACATGAACTGTTTCACTACAACCTACAATTATGAAGGATGTGTTGCAGCGTACAACACACACAGCCTTCACACAGCGCAACCTTAAGGCAACCAACAACATCACACAAACTACTTACACAATGCAACCTACTGTCAACCAGAAACATCACACAAACCACTTACACAATGCAACCTAATGGCAACCAACAACATCACACAAACCACTTACACAATGCAACCTAATGGCAACCAACAACATCACACAAACCACTTACACAATGCAACCTAATGACAACCAACAACATCACACAAACCACTTACACAATGCAACCTAAGGCCAACAACAACACACAAACCACTTACACAATGCAACCTAATGGCAACCAACAACATCACACAAACCACTTACACAATGCAGGCAACCTAAATCACACAAACCACTTACACAATGCAACCTAATGGCCAACAACAATACACAAACCACTTTACACAATGCAACCTAATGGCAACCAACAACACACAAACCACTTTCACACAAACCACTTACAAAATGCAACCTAAAAGGCAAAACAACAACACAAAACAAACCACTTACACAATGCAACCCTAAAGGCAACCAACAACACACAAACCACTTACACAATGCAACCTAAAGGCAACCAACAACATCCACACAAACCAATTACACAATGCAACCTAAAGGCAATCCAACACAGCCAACAACATCACACAAACCACTTACACAATGCAACCTAAAGGCAACCAACAACATCACACAAACCACTTACACAATGCACAATGCAACCTAATGGCAACCAACAACATCAACACAAAACCACTTACAACAATGCAACCTAATGGCAACCAACAACAATACACAAAACTAATGGCACCAGCAACAATACACACAATGCAACCTAAAGGCAAAACCAACAATGCAACCTATCAACCACAAACCACTTACACAATGCAACCTAAAGGCAACCAGCAACATCACACAAACCACTTACACAATGCAACCTTATGGCAAACAGCAACAGCACACAAACCACTTACACAATGCAACCAGCAACATTACACAAACCACTTACAAAATGCAACCTAAAGTCAACCAACAATACACAAATCACTTACACAATGCAACCTAATGGCAACCAACACCATCACACAATCCACTTACACAATGCAACCTAAAGGCAAACAACAACACACAAACCACTTACACAATGCAACCGAATGGCAACCAACAACACACAAACCACTTACACAATGCAACATAAAGGCAACCAGCAACAATAATAATACAAACCACTTACACAATGCAACCTAATGGCAACCAACAACAATGCACATGGCAAACCACTTACAATGCAACCTAATGGCAACCAACAACAATACACAAACCACTTACACAATGCAACCTAATGGCAACCAACAACACACAAACCACTTACACAATGCAACCTAATGGCAACCAACAACACACACAAACCACTTACAAAATGCAACCTAAAGGCAACCAACAACACACAAACCACTTACACAATGCAACCTAATGGCAACCAACAACACACACAAACCACTTACACAATGCAACCTAAAGGCAACCAGCAACAATACACAAACCACTTACACAATGCAACCTAATGGCAACCAACAACATCACACAAACCACTTACACAATGCAACCTAATAACACAAGGCAATCACAATGCAACACAGAAATCACTTACAAAATGCAACCTAATGGCAACTATCAATAATCCACAAACCACTTACACAATGCAACCTAAAAGCAATCAAGAACATCACACAAACCACTTACACAATGCAACCTAATGGCAACCAATAACACACAAACCACTTACGCAATGCAACAGGAAGGCAATCAGCAACACAGAAATCACTTACAAAATGCAACCTAATGGCAACTATCAATAATCCACAAACCACTTACACAATGCAACCTAATGTCAACCAGCAACACACAAACCACTTACACAATGCAACTTAATGTCAACCAGCAACACACAAACCACTTACACAATGCAACCTAATAGAAACCAGCAACACACAAACCACTTACACAATGCAACCTAATGGCAACCAGCAACACACAAGCCACTTACACAATGCAACCTTGTGGCAACCAGCAACACACACAAGCCACTTACACAATGCAACTTAATATCAACCAGCAACACACAAACCACTTACACAATGCAACCTAATGTCAACCAGCAACACACAAACCACTTACACAATGCAACTTAATGTCAACCAGTAACACACAAACCACTTACACAATGCAACCTAATGTCAACCAGCAACACACAAACCACTTACACAATGCAACCTAATGTCAACCAGCAACACACAAACCACTTACACAATGCAACCTAATAGCAACCAGCAACAACACACAAACCACTTACACAATGCAACCTTATGTCAACCAACAACACACAAACCACTTACACAATGCAACATAAAGGCAACCAACAACACACAAACGACTTACACAATGCAACCTTATGGCAACCAACAACACACAAACCACTTGCACAATGCAACCTAAAGGCAACCAGCAACACACAAACAAACCACTTGTCCAATGCAACTTAATGGCAAACAACAACACACAAACCACTTGCACAATGCAACCTAATGACAACCAGCAACACACAAACCACTTGCACAATGCAACTTAATGGCAAACAACAACAGCACACAAACCACTTGCACAATGCAACCTAAAGGCAACCAACAACACACAAACCACTTACACAATGCAACCTAATGTCAACCAGCAACACACAAACCACTTACACAATGCAACCTAAAGGCAACCAACAACACACAAGCCACTTACACAATGCAACCTAATAGCAACCAGCAACAACACACAAACCACTTACACAATGCAACCTAAAGTCAACCAACAACACACAAACCACTTACACAATGCAACATAAAGGCAACCAACAACACACAAACCACTTGCACAATGCAACCTAAAGGCAACCAACAACACACAAACCACTTTCCCAATGCAACATAAAGGCAAACAACAACAGCACACAAACCACTTGCACAATGCAACCTTACGGCAACTTTGAATCTACACACAAATCACTTGCACACCTTCCCGTGTTTTCACATCACGACAGCACATTTATAGTATCGCAAATAATGACACAGGGTGATAAATGGGATGCACGCTGTCGCGAGTTTTCACTGACCTGAAAAGAGGCTGGATCTGATACAGATGGCGTTGTTGACGCTGACCTCCAGGAAGTTATCTTCATACCGGATGTCCACATCATTCCAGCCAGTTCCCTGAAACAGTATGCACAACTTATAGTTATATCACGTGCACAACAGGCAAATGTCAATGGACATACGAACACATGGGTGTTTATACTTCGCTGTCATCTTCTGAACTTACTGGAGAATTTACGTAAGCATAACATACTGAAAGTTTATTCCTCCTACTCATGAACATTTTACATGGAGCCCCCACTGTGCAGGGAAGGTGTTCATTAGAAGGAGAGTCATGAGGCAGAGACCAATGTTGCTGTACAGACAACAGATGATGGAGAAAGATCCTTCAAAAACGATATAAAGTATCGTTATTATCGCCACTTTGTAGAGATGTCGAAATGGTTGCTACCACGATTCTGTAAAATTATCGTTCGTACTGTGATTTTGTACAAATATCGTTCCTACAGCTGTACAAATAACGTCATTACAGCGATGTTGTACAAGTATCGGCTCTACAGCGATGTTGTACAATATCGTCCCTACAGCGATGTTGTAAAAGTATCGTCTGTACAGAGATGTTGTACAAGTATCGTCCGTACAGCGATCATGTACAAATATCGTCCGTACAGTGATCGTCCCTACAGCGATACAAATATCGTCCGTACAGCGATGTTGTACAAGTATCGTCCGTACAGCGATGTTGTACAAGTATCGTCCGTACAGCGATGTTGTACAAGTATCGTCCATACAGCGATGTTGTACAAGTATCGTCCGCACAGCGATGTTGTACAAGTATCGTCCATACAGCGATGTTGTACAAGTATCGTCCCTACAGCGATCGTGTACAAATATCGTCCGTACAGCGATGTTGTACAAGTATCGTCCGTTAAGCGATCATGTACAAATATATCCGTACACCGATGTTGTACAAGTATCGTCCGTACCACGAAGGTATGCAAGTGTCGTCCGTGCAGCGATGTTGTACAAGTATCGGCCGTACAGGGATGTTGTACAAGTATCGTCCCTACAGCGATGTTGTACAAGGATCGTCCCTACAGCGATGTTGTACAAGTATCGTCCGTACAGCGATGTTGTACAAGTATCGTCCCTACAGCGATGTTGTACAAGTATCGTCCCTACAGCGATGTTGTACAAATATCGTCCCTACAGCGATGTTGTACAAATATCGTCTCTACAGCGATGCTGTACAAGTATCGTCCCTACAGCGATGTTGTACAAGTATCGTCCCTACAGCGATGTTGTACAAATATCGTCCGTACAGCGATGTTGTACAAATATCGTCCGTACAGCGATGCCAAGTATCGTACAAGTATCGTCGATGATGTACAAGTATCGTCCCTACAGCGATGTTGTACAAATATCGTCCCTACAGCGATGTTGTACAAGTATCGTCCCTACAGCGATGTTGTACAAGTATCGTCCGTACAGCGATGTTGTACAAGTATCGTCCCTACAGCGATCATGTACAAATATCGTCCGTACAGATGTTGTACAAGTATCGTCCCTACAGCGATGTTGTACAAGTATCGTCCGTACAGCGATGTTGTACAAGTATCGTCCCTACAGCGATGTTGTACAAGTATCGTCCGTACAGCGATGTTGTACAAGTATCGTCCCTACAGTGATGTTGTACAAGTATCGTCCCTACAGCGATGTTGTACAAATATCGTCTGTACAGCAATGTTGTACAAATATCGTCCGTACAGCGATGTTGTACAAGTATCGTCCCTACAGTGATGTTGTACAAGTATCGTCCGTACAGCGATGTTGTACAAGTATCAAAGCGATATCGTCCGTACAGCGATGTTGTACAAGTATCGTCCCTACAGCTGTATCGTCCCTGTACAACAGTATCGTCAAGTATCGTCTCTACAGCGATGTTGTACAAGTATCGTCTGCGATGTTGTACAAATATCGTCCCTACAGCGATGTTGTACAAATATCGTCCGTCTACAGCGATGCTGTACAAATATCGTCCCTACAGCGATGTTGTATAAGTCGTCCCTACAGCGATGTTGTACAAATATCGTCCCTACAGTGATGCTGTACAAATATCGTCCGTACAGCAATGTTGTACAAGCTGTACAAATATCGTCCCTACAGCGATGTTGTACAAATATCGTCCCTATCGTCCCTCAGCGATGTTGTACAAATATCGTCCCTACAGCGATGTTGTACAAGTATTATCCCTACAGCGATGCTGTACAAGTATCGTCCGTACAGCGATGTTGTACAAGTATCGTCTCTACAGCGATGTTGTACAAGTATCGTCCCCAGAGCGATGTTGTACAAGTATCGTCTGTACAGCTATGCTGTACAAGTATCGTCCGTACAGCGATCATGTACAAGTATCGTCCCTACAGCGATGTTGTACAAATATCGTCTCTACAGCGATGCTGTACAAATATGGTCCCTACGGCGATGCTGTACAAATATCGTTTCTAGTGCGATGCTGTACAAATACCGTAGAAATATCTTTATTATCGTTATTTAGTAGGGCCATCATTCCTTCCGCGGTATGGACATATCGTTCCTACCGATTCTGTCAAGGTGCATCCCTCCCTTGATGGCTGAACGTCATTTTCGGATTCGAACTCCATCGAGAACTCTCTGGACCAGGGCCTGTACGACACTCTCAGTGTTGGGGGCAGTTTGTTCACATCGGAGCAGCCGTTGTGAATCACAGTTATCTCCGCCGAGGGGTTGTTGTCACAGGGCTTGAAACGGAAGGTGATGTGGAAAGACTTGCCCAGGGTGTTGCTCTTGAAGAAAGGGATTGCGACAGTGGAGTCTTGGAACAAGGCACAGCCGCCACCAACAGCGGTTGGATCCTGCACGATACGGGAGTTGTCGGGCCTGGTTCGTTTGAGCCATAGACCACGTGACAGCTCCTCGATGGCTTGGTCAAAGGTCATGTTTAACATCACGAGGCATGGTGAAGGAACAGCTGTAAGAAATACACATTCGAAAATATTGATAATCTTGAGGGAGTGTCGCAAATATAGCTTTGAGAGTTTCACATATTTTGCGGGAGTGAGAGTTTAGCAATATTCCAATATCACGACAGCAGGACACCAGAAATGGGCTCCACAAAATGTATCCATGTGGAGGATCGAACCAGGATTTCCGGCGTGACGAACTGACGCTTTAACCACTAGGCTATCCAACCGCCCTGTTCATATCGGAAATCGAACACGTTCGCAAGAGTCGGGTTCGATTCCTTACATGGACAGGCGTGAAGCCAAGTTCTGCTGTCTCCCGACGTTACAATGCTGTAATATTGCAAACACGGTATAAGACAATAGTCAGGATATCTTTATATTAGTAAAAGATACTATCCTGCAATGCACACACTAATATTGATATAAAAAATAAATTGTTCTCGTCACGATATGGCTGCAACATTGCCGATGTGACGCTAAATATAAACTCACTCACTCACTATCCTGCAATGGGACCACCGTTATTGCCCTACGTTTTGATATCTAACAGCAATCACATCCATACCACCTGCATGACTGGCACATTACAAAAACCCAAGACGGGTATCCACTGGATGCTTACCTCTTGTTTAAACAGATAAACGCCGTACACGTAAGCGTACCCTTATGTTATCCCTTACAAAGCCAGTAATCAACATCATGAGCATAGATCTACGCAATTGGGATACCATAATGTTTCAACCAAGTCGGCGAGCCTGACCACCCGATCCCGTTAGTCGCCTCTTACGACAAGCATGGGTAGCTGAAGACCAATTGTAACCAGGATCTTCACTGGTCAGAAACCTGCGATGGTGGGATTTAATCCTGGTTAGCCCCGACTGTGTTTCTAGGTTTGTCAACACCAAACTCAAAACAGGAAACGTCGGAGACATCAACCAGTACCACAGCATCGTCCACAAGAATATCAGGTGTAAAGAATAAAAAGAAGTTGTTATCCAAAAAATTGTCATGTATTCATGTCGGAGACCTGGCCCCAATTTCTACAAACAAAGTTATGTTTTTACTCAAATTTCAAACTGAGTTTGACAGTTTGAAACTGCTGAATTTTTAACTCAACTGCATTTTTAAAATACAAACGCCCAAACAACTAAAGTAATCTATCAACCAAACTCTAATTGTCTACTATGTTTGAGTTTAACATCAATTTCAGTTCATTCTGGGAAATGCATTTTCTCAAATTTGAGTAAAAACTCTAACTTAATTCAAAACTCAGACTTAAGTTTGTTTTGAGAAATCGGGGCCTGAATCACTTCTGCCATCCTTCCACATTAAGCTAAAACTCTTTGATATAGCTGAAATACGGTTAAGAGAAGCTATAAAACCAACTTTCTCATTTATGTCATTCCTACCAAGGTCCTACCTTGACTTTGCTCCACCCTGCGAGGTGGGAAGGTCCTATCCGGGCCCCACTCACACCTGCAGGTCTTCTGGTCCCAGATCAGGCCGGTGTAGAAGGGCCAGTTGCAGTCTTCCGTGATCCAGCCGTTGTCAGTCTTCCTGGCATACATGCTTGGGTTGTCTGGGTGGGGTTGGTGGAAGTTGCAGTTGGGGCCCTCCACCTCTTGGTCTTCATCAGGGACGGGCGTGGCAGGAACAGGAGTGGTAGTGGGTGGGGGTGGGGTGGTGGTCCTCCTGTACCCATCCCTACACTGACAAGCATCGTGGTCGTATATCTGGTACAGGTTACACTCTTGGTCGATCCATTGCGATCTCCAACCGTTCCGGGAGAAAATCTGATAGGCGTTTTCCTGAGTTGGGTGAGGTCGTTTTACCCCTCTACGGCATTCTGAATGACATATGGATAATATTTTCTGAATTTACCATTTTGAAAGGTTTTACTATTTGACTTATAATCAGTATCAGAGTATTTAGTACCATTAAGTTAGCTGGTCTTACTTAGGTGTATTTTGTGTTTGTAAGGACTATTAGTTTTAACTATAGATATGATGTGATAAATATTTTTTCTCTGTTCATATCTCTTGCTATTTTAAAATTAATACAAAAGTACACAATCGGAAATAAAAAACAACAACAACAACATACCATTCTTTCTGACAAAATATACACGAATTCATAAATATGAGAAACGAAATTTGATCGTTTGAGTGAGAGTCAATTCGTTTTTGCGATATGCAATCATTGTTTAATTGAAGCGAAGATATTTATCGTCAAACGCCCGCTGCCTATTATATACCATCGCATCGCAATGCAAAAAAAAAAGAAATGTGAATAGTGTATATTTTCGAAACACATGTCCGATTGATTTAAATGTATGAGTACAAAAAGAGCTGTAACCTTATAAAACAGAGGCAGTGAAGTTAAAGCAGACAATCCCGTCAAAATCCAATCCAAACTAATATATATCAACACTAACCCATAGTAGGCAAAAAAGAAACACAATTGATATCATCCGCTGGTGAAAATAGCTAAGCCAACTAATGTTAACAAAATACATACCATTTAAAATTTGTCCACACGTAAGCACGACAAATACAGTCACCAAGAAAAAACAAATTTGATTCTGAAATGCAAGAAAAAATTCTGAGAAATGAACAGGGGGCAGTCATATTCATGTAAATTAAAAACGATTAAGTTTGTATATAATTACAACGTTAATTAGTAGTTATAGTCAGTAGCTTCAAAAGATATAGTATTAATGTTTGATTTATACTGCATACACGTAGGCCAATATTCTAAAATAAACAGTTTCAAGTTATCTTTCTTAATCTAGCAATCATTAAGTGTTTCGTCAGACAGATTTGCCGGATTAACCAACCAAATCATAAAACAACATCTCTATCAAACCTGAAACGTTATACTATCTTTGACACAAAACAAAGGCAGTAAGAAACAATTACTCATAAACTGCCACGCAAACTTCAATCAATGAATATTGATCAACGTTAATGACATAATTACAGTATAGTTCCGCTAGAAGAACCCGTGCTACTACATACCTGACACATAGTTATGCTTCCAGTGTTCAAATAAGTTAAATAAAGGCTGAGAAAAACTCCGTTCTTTCGTTTTATACGCAGCCCCTCGAGTGTCCAGCGAAAGTCAAATTGCCCGGAGGTGGAAAGCGGCTTATGGGTGATTTTCTCTACTAATTGATATTTACATATACAAATCCTTTCGCGTGGGCAAACTCAATTTGACCAATGAAAGACCGAGTTCTTGAGACTACGTCATAAGGTCAAGACAACAGAAAGCTGCGTGCCAAGAGAAATGTTTCCTTCAAGAACACGCTTGTTTGTTTGTCATGACTGAATTCTGAGAAGGGGAGAAAAACTTAGTGCCTACCTGTATAAACAAACCTTACTTATAGTTCTACGTGACTAAACGACATCATCACGTTTGTAATTTTCTTTTCACTTTTATTGTTTTATTTTGCAGATGAATAAGTCGTTTTAATTATCGACGTTGACAGAACCCTCCACTAAACTGAATTCAAGTGATGAGGAAGATGTTATTAAAGCTGGCAACAATGAACTACATAACCATTTAAAAAATATGTGCACTAAAATTTCAGCACATACTTTAACTGTTGTAATACTATCATACCACATAGGTAGGTTAATGTGACGCTTGTTATATATATATATATATATATATATATATATATATAACCAGTATAATCCTCGCTTTACTCTAGACATAAGTCACAGGGACATAAACCAATACGAGAAAACCACAGGTACATTTGAACTGGAAGCAGTTAAGGTCTTGGCCTCATAACAGTAAAGGCAGGGAGATACCTCATTCTTCAAAAACAAGCCTCTTGGATTAGTGGTCGTTACTTGCGCCCCCTGTTTTATTTTCCTATTTGAACAGTGTCTTCTTTCCTTCTCACAAATCAGTGTTATTGTTTGTACGCAGTTTAAAATTTCTGAGACAAAAATGCCTCCCTAAACAAGTTAAGTTTACAAACGGATATGAGTTCGCGACGTCCAATATACAGCGATATTTGAGACGTTCCGGCAAGCGTCAATGTCGTTTGTGTTGTCAAGGTGATTGGATCGGCAGCCCAGAACGTGTCCCTCCACTGGCTGAGAAACACAGCATATATTTTTTAAGAAGGCAATGCCAAAAGTTGCGGGTTTAAAAGTATTTTTGATGTTGTACGCCAGCTTAGCCTGTGTAAACGCCCTCGCTTACAATATACACACACCTGCAGTCAAGACGTCACGGCCATAATTCATATACCTTAAGGGAATACGCAGTTTCTTCACGTTTTGTAATTGCACTATTTTAATTACTTTTGTAAATTTTTAAGAAATCCGTAAATCAACAGAACGTCGTTTTTCAATTCCCTGTGCAATGTGAAGATCGTCAGCGTAATCCTTCATTAAGCATGTGAAGTTTTCTAAAACGAAGAGAGGCTGTGCATGGAATGAGAATAACTACAGCGTAAATACTACCGAGAACGTCCTTGAACCCTATGGCCATATATTGCACCCATGAAACTTGTCAAGAGTAAATGAATATGTGGTGTTCAAGGAGATAGTTTCTGCCCTTACTTATTAATGTTAACAACAGAATGTCTGTCGGTTGAGAATAAAGTTCTGCTTTTCCTTTTGAGTTGATATTTCAATAAGAGGTGTTTGTACCCTCATAGAAAATCATGTTAAGATCTACAGCATAGAATGCTCACAGTGAGTTGGGACAGCCCATATAATACATGAACTTTGAATGTTCATTACAATAATTACTTAATTACATGCTGTTAAAAACACAAATAAAAAGAGTGTCAGAGGAACATTTATTGGAAACATTAACGATAGTATTAATAACCATAAAATATCACAGAACATATTAACATGCAGCTAAAAAACAAGAATTCACAGGCTGTTAGATTTAAGCTGAAGTCTCATCTGTTAATGTAAGAGGATTATGGAAATGAAATACGTTTTCGTACATTATCAACATAGATATACTAAACATATATAGAAGACAGCAGCTTCTAACCTCTCCAAAGATAACTTTAACCTAAACAGCTTTAAAAAATAGTTTTACTCCATATTTGTGTAAAATTAAAAGTAATGATGAAAGTAAATACTCGTAACATGGTATTAATGAAAACAAACCCAACATGGAGTCTTTCCCCTGTGGTTGTTACACAAATGTTTATAAGATAAGGACAAAAGTTTATGGATGAACAACTTCTTTATTCGGATGATGTCATCATCATTAGAGTCACTCATTGAGTGAGTAAACGAGTTTAGTTTTACGCCGTACTCAGCAATATTCCAGCTATATGGCGGAAAGAAATTGAAAAAACCCCTCAAACCTCCAAAGGCACATCTACATGATATGGAGAGGCAGTATAGCAAATTTGGTAAAGATTGTTCAAGTAGTTTTAGAGTTATGTTCCGGAAACAATGGGAACGCCGACGCCAACGGAAACTCAACCAAAATCAATATGTCTCCGACCCTTCGCGGGGAGACATAATTTCAAGGAAGTGCACATGACAATAATTTGAGATGCATGTTTACAACAGAATTGATTCACGAGGGGACTTGGTTATCACCAATCACCATGACTGTACATTTACATGTGGTGGATTCCAAACTTATATATCCGGGTATCAAATACTCGATAACAACCGCAATTAAAATAAAAATTTAAAATCATATATTTACAGCTGGTAGCTATACAGAACACAGTACACGTTCTGAGAAAACCCGGTTCTACACTAACGAAGAGTGATGGACGCAATTTATCGCTTGTTTTGAATGAAGTCTTGAGAATCCAATCACGATTAAAAGCCAAATTGGCCCCCTATCAAACCCGATTTGGTCCCCACTGGTGCATCTGTTTGATGCGGGACGATTTTAGAGCATTGAAATTAAGGATTATTACAACTCATGTTCTTAGCCCATAAAATCATAGCATAGATACTCATAGATGTTTTCATATGATACCACAAACATGACCACAGTTGTCCAAAGAACTCAAATGTCAACAAATTCAACAATATGAAAACATATATTACACACGTGACACACAATTCTAAAAAATAATACAGTGACAAACGATACTTTAATAAATACATACAAAACTCCAATTTAACGATAGCAAACTATGTGGTCTAGTCAGAAAGTGTCACAGATATGTAGCACACGACGGCAGTTGAGTCAGGGCTTCTTTAGCAATGAGAGACATCAAAAAGATATGTCGTAGGTTGCCCAACTGTTCATAGAAACAGGATATGCCACGTGTCACTAAAATCGACATTCCGTTGAGGTAAAGTAATACGAGTAAGTGAAGATTTCTTACCAATATTCAAACAATATCCTGGACATTGGGGAGGGTAAGGCACTACATTAGGCTTCATATATTGCACCCATGTTGGAATCGAACCCGCGCCCTCAGCGTAACGCAGGAACACCTTAACCGTTGCGCTACCCCATCGTACTAACCACTATATGCAACCCCATCGCGCCCAAGATACTACGTTACCAGTTCGATATTTATTTTAATTATAATTGCAGATGAACATACTAACACCTGTTATGTGAATATTTCCAAACATTATATTTTTCATTAATATATCTCAGAGAAGCAGTATCGATGTCGAGAGGCGTTATATTTCCGTGACAATAAGGATCACTAAGCCTTGCGACCCAAAGGATATGCTACGTACATCAACCAGATTTAGAAGCTGCATTATGTGAATGTTCTGATTAACACGTGAGTGAGTGAGTTTAGTTTTACGCCGCACTCAACAATATTTCAGCTATATGGCGGCGGTCTGTAAATAATCGAGTCTGGGACAGACAATCCAGTGATCAACATCATGAGCATCTAGATCTGTGGACTTGGGAACCAACCAATGACATGTGTCAACCAAGTCAGCGAACCTGACCACCCGATCCCGTTAGTCGCCTCTTACGACAAGCATGGGTTACTGAAGATCAATTCTAACCCTGACCTTCATGGGTGAATAACAAGTGAAGTGATTGGTGCGTTTTGCACTTTCTTAAAGGAATTACTTTGACGTGGGTAGAGTGTTTTCTTTAAAGTTATTCATCCATGTAAAACTTTCTTCATACACAAAATGAGTAGCATATTCTTTGTGTCCACAACATCTTGTAACATTATTATCAGAAAGGCATAAACTTTTCAGGAACACTTCCCTGGGGAAAATCCCCGAACATACTGATCATATATTTTAATTAAACATTGTCAAACAGCAACGAGATCATATTTTCAGGACTTCAGCGTCACTCCAAGGAGGTAAGTGGCAAGAACTCACACATAAGTATCACGTGCTAGCAGTATCTAGCAACAACATACTCTCTTGCAGAAACTTGTTTTATCTTCTTTTGGAGGGTTCTGAGTGCGCGTGAAGGTCAAGAATACTTGTTCCAAGGTAGTTTGATGCACAGAATAATCCTCCACACCGAACTGTGTCTTCGTGTCCTCCATCAGACTGAACACCTGAGCCAGTCGAACGCTGGCATCGGGGATCTGGAAGTGGGCATAGCCCTGATGGTCATCAAACACCTGAGCTTGGGGGTAATTGGCCTTAATGAAGGCGATTAGGGGCTGGGTTGGGGCGTTCGTCAGTCCATTGTCCATAACGCCCATTCGGGCTATCAGGGTGTAACCCTGACCGAACTTGTTCTTCAGATGCTGGGGGGTTCCTAGGCAGACAAAGCGCCCATTGACCATGATGGCGATTCTCGTACACAGGGCGTCACATTCCTCCATGCTGCCAACAGAAAACAGGACTGAGTCAGAACTTCAAAATAACATGTGACAACAGTGACCTGATTGATGAACCTAACGTTCACGTACAATACATTTCTGGGATACTCTGACTGTCTGGTCTTACAGACTAAAATATTGCGTAAACGCCGGAGAATATTCAGTCCCGATTATTGAAGCTGAGGGAAAATAGTTTTGATAATTATATGAATGAATCTATGAAAGTTCTACTAATTTTATAATGACTAGCTAGTAGAATTAATGCATCTGTTTATCACTGTCAGCCAAAGGTTTCAAAAGGCAATTATTAGGCAACACCGTCTTTTGTTAATTGGAACGAGTAGCCAGACGACAGATGTGGATATTATGCAATGGCTTTCATTCTATACAAACCTGTGGGATGTCAGTATAAGAATTATATGAATGAATCTATGAAAGTTCTACTAATTTTATAATGACTAGCTAGTAGAATTAATGCATCTGTTTATCACTGTCAGCCAAAGGTTTCAAAAGGCAATTATTAGGCTACACCGTCTTTTGTTAATTGGAACCAGTAGCCAGTCGACAGATGTGGATATTATTCAATGGCTTTCATTCTATACAAACCTGTGGGATGTCAGTATAAGAGTTCTGCCGCACTCCCGGACTTTTGACAGGACGTTCCAGAGCTGCCTCCTGGCTTTCGGGTCCATCCCCGTGGACGGCTCATCCAGCATGATGAAGGCTGGGTCTCCAACCAGAGCGATGGCGGTGCTTAGTTTACGCTTGTTGCCACCACTGTAAACAAACGCCATTAAAATGTGCAGATGAGCTTATTGTTAGCTAAACCATTGCTCTGTCTGTCTTCAGGTTCTTTAAATGTTTACGGAATAAAACATTTCTGTCTGTCTGCATCAATTAGCAGTGTACCCGTACATTGCGGCAACCACGCTTACTATCACTGGCTACTTATAACATCAATAAAGTCGCAAGATATATTTGGGTCAACATGGCACACAAGGAAACACGGGACCGACACACTATCCGGTCTTAACGCCACGACTGTCCTTAATGAATTCTAATATGTGACTTGCAATAGCACTGACGCTAAGATTGATTCCTGGAACGGTTGGAATGGATCCCTGACCATAGCATTGCTGCCCGCCCTAACGTAGGCACATTCTGCTGAATTCATCAGAGTAACCCAGAACTCGACAATGCAACAAGGCAAAATCTTTCCAAGTATGCATGCCACTGTTCAATTCCAGAGCGATTCGCATGTGATGAGTTAGTGAGAGGGTTTCTGTTGAGCCTGGTTTATGTTTTGTTTAGCCATATCTCACGACATAGATATTTCAGATCAGAACCGAATCCAGTTTCGGTGGACCACCCATGGCCCCTTTATCTACCTGTAGTTCCCAGTTGGTCTGTCGCCATACTGGGACAGCATCATGATTTCCAGTAGTTTGTCACAGACTCCCGGAATACAGCTCTCTGGAACTCCTTTGAGTCTCGCATACATGGAGAGGGTCTCCCGTCCGGTCATCTGCTCAATCAGGGCATCAAACTGGGGGCAGTAGCCCATGTTCTCCTGCACCTATTGGAAAATACGTAGAAAATATGCAAGAGATATTTTACTTCGGAACAAACGTTTAGATCAATGATTCGGCAGGTACGCAGCCCCATTAGAAATGTGTTCAATAGTGAATGAGATGAACTTTTAGGCCTCACCTAAGAGAGTTCAATGTAAGCTAAGTAAGGGTAGTCTTTGGACTATACCAGTAAAAGTTCCAATGCCATGCTTTACACATATACTTAAAATGTGAAAGGATTGGATGGTCTTTTAACTTATTATATGTTTTAAGAAAAACGTTTTTAGTAGTATGGATTTGTATATGAGGGCATCTCAAACCTGTTGTGTATTGCTCTTTATGTCATATGACCAGAGATAAGCATTCCCATTGGTCACCATCACATCTCCCGTTAACATCTTAAACGTTGTGGTCTTCCCGGCGCCATTTTGACCAAGAAGACCAAAGCACTCCTTCTCAGGTATCCCTACGCTGATGTGATCGACAGCCACAAAGTTCCCATAGCGTTTGTACAGATTCCTCAGAACGAGGGCATCATCTGCTTCACCTTTAGTAGGGGACGACGATGCAACGCGCTGTTTCTCGGCTGCAACGTCGTTGTCTTCAATCTGAACGTTTTCCATATGTACGACGTCATCCACATCGGTTTCCTTGGGACGGAGGGTATACCAGACACGCTGCGGAATCTGGTATTCTATACACAGAGTAAGCGCGATGAACACGCAGCCTTGCAGGAACATGAAGACGAGGAACCGACCGATACCAGGGGTGTCCCATTCCAGGTAGTTGGAGTAGAACTTGAGACAGGTGTCGCCACCACAGTTTCCTATACAACAGTACAACACGAATCTTCAGAATAAAACACCAATGACCATTACAGATCACCAATACAAATATTCAAAAGTTACTTCAAACAGGCATGAACTTGTTGGATTAGCGCTCGTCGATTCTGTTAGTGTTTGCAAATTGTCGTCGTTTTACGATGTTTTTTTACGAGTGTGTCATCGATCTTTAATCGAAACTTCAAGTGGTTTTAGTTGCAAACTCGGTCTTTTGATGTGAATATTTGACAAGCAACATACTTTGTTACATCGTACCTACCACAACCTTTTTCTCCACATATCTCTAACATTTTGTCAGAGTGTCGTATTGAACTTGCTTTAAACAATATGTGACTTTGAACACACACTGCTTTTGAGAAAGGGGTCTCAGCAGGAACAAGTGTTATATATGGGATAACACCTTCTCAGTAAGGTAGAGATTCTAGTCTATTTGGGAGTTCAGGCCCATCCAATATTCGAACCCACACTGTCGGATTCAGGCACCAAATCGCCAGAACATAAAGTCAACGATCTAACCCAATCAGCCACCACGGCTTCCACGAAAAAGGAAGTCTGGAACTGGAAGCTTAGATCGCATATTTTGTTTGCCCCTATGACTATTTCAAACTGACACGGCTTCCAAGGCACATTAACCATTTGTGCTGTACTAGAATTCCACGGCATCTGTCGTAGACGTGTCCCCTTCGCTGAAGCCAATCATCAGGCCATACTACCTGGACAACGTGCATTTTTATAGTGGTTCTAAATATGAGAACTTGAGGTAGCATTTTTGAATATATATAAGGATATAATCAATGTAAAGAAATGATAGAAGCTCTTTTTAGTGATGAGACAATCTGTGGCGAGTGTATAGCAAATTGACCCTTCTAGATCCAAGGTTATGTAACGGCTGATGAAAAAGCTATCTCCTTACGAGAGGATGCTCAGGGCTGTTGATCACTGGATTGTCTAGTCCTGACTCGATTATTTACATACCGTCGCCATATAGCTGGTATATTGTGCGGCGTAAAACTAAACTCAATGAATTAAAAAATGAGTAGTCATTCTTACGTAACGTTGGGGAAATCACTATGGAAACACCACTATTATCTTATTCAATGAAATATCTGAAATATTTAAAAAATACTGACAATGATAATAACACAAAACATACAAAGAACGGTTAATATAAACCACAATAGTCTTGAGACACCGGCTTTCGGCGAGTTCATTGAAACCATTATTACATCAACGAGATTCTACAGTAATTATTTTGTAACATATAATGTTTCCTTAGTTAATCAGCTGTTTGACTGACCTTTACAGCAAGGCATGGGGATGCCCCTTGGACATAATATGTCATACTTCAGCTTGATGCAGGTATCTGTCACCACCTTGTTGACGTACATCTCAGAGAAGCACTTCCCCAGGCAGTAGTGGGGGAAGACGATGGAGAAGATCCAGTCCAGGGCCTCCCCTACATCCTCTGTCCCCAGTCCCGGAATCATCAACACAAACGTCGCAAGGAGAGTCAGCAATCCTAGCACAGAGAGTACGTGAGTTTTGTTTTACGCTGCTTTTAGCAATATTCCAACAATATTACAGTGTAAGACACCAGGAAAAGTAAGTGAGTGAGTTTAGTTTTACACCTCTTTTATCAATATTCCAGCAATATCACGGCGGGACAGACCAGAAATGGGCTTCACAAATTGTTTCTATGTGGGAACTCGACCCCGGGTCTTTGAATGCTTTAAACACTTGGCTACCTGAGGCCACGCAAAGGAGGGTTAGAATGGACAGGGTACATTAAAACGTAAAGAAAGGAAATATAGACTTCTTCAAGGGACTGAATTTTGTTTGTTTTATAGATGTTTAAAGCCACTCAAAATATTCCAGACTAATGGTATTATTAAGTGCAAGTCATTGGTATAATGTGACCCGTTAGAATTGACCTTCAATATCCCATGCTTGTCGTAAGAAGTGACTAACGGGATCAGGTGGTCAGGCTCGCTGACTTGTTTGACACATGTCATCGTATCCCAGTTGCGTAGATCGATGTTCATGCTGTTTATTATTGGATTGTCTGGTTCAGATACGATTATTTACAGATCGCTGCCATATAGCTGGAATATTGCTGAGTTGACAACAAACAAACAAAACATTGGCATTATGTACACCGATACACGTTCCGCTTTACGTTTACATGCAATTGACTAAGCACCTATCCTGAACAATATTCAGTTGCCATTTACGACAAGCATACTTTCCTGAACAGTGTTACAGTAGTAAAGTCGATCTTATGGAGATGAGTGAGACACGAAGTCAGCCTTCAATGCTGGTATAGACAATGGCTCACCTGACAAGATGTTGAGGATGATGATGATGACCATGCCGGTGGCTGGGGTTTTGAACATATACTGTAGGAGGTACATGAAGGGCAGGACAGACCAGCCGTAGACGATGAACACGAGGAAGACGAGGCCGAGTCGGTGGTCGAGGACGTAAGCGTCAGTTTGAAAGGCAGCAAAAACGGGCAACAGAACCAAACATGGAATGATGTAGTTGATGAAGTCCCAAGCCAAATTGGACAGCCAGAACACAGTAGGTCCAACTCCGCTGACGACCTGAAGATGCTTTGCGCCAACCTGCCTCTCCTTGATGAGGAAGTAAACAAAGGAAGACGTCAGGAAGGCCATTCCAAAGAGGATGTTGAAGGCTATAGTGAACCCAAAGCTTGAAGCGAGAAGAGCAGTTTGTTCAGAAGCATCTGATACGTTCTTTGGAAGAGGATAACTGTTAGTTGCAATGGAATAGTCGGAGGATGTGAAAGACTTCAGGATGCCGTTCATCATATACGAAAGGGCTATAGGAGCTGCATGGTAGGGCTGTCCATTGTAGTATCCTCTGGCAACTGTGTCAGATTCATACTCTGCTCCAATGATCATTCTTTTGTTATAGGTGGACACACCAAGCTGGTCTGCCCTGGACAGGAGGTAGGTTGTCATGTTCCCTTGACTTGTCTCTGCAAACTCTGCTGTGTCACCAGCGCCAAGCTGACCAATATAGGATTCGGCAAAACTCTCGGTAAGCGCCATGGAGCCGTTTTGGTAAGGTACATTGGATCCCCCGAAGGGGTTGAGGTTGAGGGGAAGGGATTCCTCTGATAGCACGCCTGGTCTCGTCTTCTCCACCACCAGGGCCAGGATGGTGGCTATGACGGGTAGGACCAACTGGACAATGGAGATAAGTCGGTTTCGCCACGTGTGGAGTGCTTTCTTCACAAAGCAGCCCTTGAACCGGGACAGTTCCAGATGCATTCCGGTAGCTTTCTTGAAGCCCTTGTTGAATGCTACATCCGCAACATAACAAAATGAATTGCGTTAGTTGACACGTTTATAGTACACACGTGGTTAATGGGAAGACGTTTCTCGTGAAGTAGACTGTGTTGTAAAGTGATTTGATCTATTTGATAACAACATAAATTAGAGTTACTACATTTAAGCGACTAATATATTAGAAACAGGTTATAAACCTCATTTTTGTGGAGTAGACTGTGTTGTAAAAGTGATTTGATCTATTTGATAACAATATAAATTAGAGTCAATACATTTAAACAACTAATACATTAGAAACAAGTTATATGCCTCCTTTTCTTGGAGTAAACTGTGATGTAAGGTGATTGGATCTATTTGATAACAACATAAATTAGAGTTACTACATTTTAACGACTAATACATTAGAAACAGGTTATAAACCTCATTTTTGTGGAGTAGACTGTGATGTAAAGTGATTTGATCTATTTGATAACAACATAAATTAGAGTCAATACATTTAAACTAATACATTAGAAACAAGTTATATGCCTCCTTTCCTTGGAGTAAACTGTGATGTAAGGTGATTGGATCTATTTGATAAAAATATTATGTAAGAGACATTACATTGATACTAATAATAAATTAGAAACACATGACCAAATATAACACACATCACGGATACTACTAGTGAGTGAGTATGTTTTAGCAATATTCCAGCAATATAAGGGTTGGGAACACCATAAATCGGCTCAACACATTGGACCCCTTCTTGGGAATCGAACCCGGTTCTTCGGCGTGACGAGAGGACAGGATACTACTAGGTTCAGAGAAATTAGATGTCCATATTTTACCAAAGCAACATACATATCTATAGATGTCAATTTTGTATATAATAGTAACCGCCCTCAGAACCATGTAAATACTACAGGCTATACAAAAATGATATAGGCCCTTACATAAGAAGTTATCGTCAACGGAATTGGCCATAGTTCCATATGACGAGCTCTTGTTCGGTCCGTCTCCATTAAGCACCTTCGCGCTGCCATTGATCTCCTTCTCCATCATAGGGTTGGTATACGACATGGTTCCATCGACTGATGGCCTGACGGCAATGTCGTCCCCAGTGTCCACCTGACTCTCGCCGACCCTGAAGTACAAGTATTGATATGACGAAGAGGGTCTTAGCGGATAATCGCTATATCACACAAGGGTGCTTTTACTCAATGACCAAGGTGTACATCTTTTCATATCATGAAGATTGTTAACCGTTACTGCAATCCCGCTTGTTTCTGATTCTCCGATAATGAAGTACAACCTTGATATGACGAAGACGGTTATAGCGAATAATTAGAATATCGCATCACACAAGGGTACCTTTTCTCGATGATCATGGGGTGCATCTTTTAATATTACGAATATGGTTATAACAATCCAGCGAGTTTTGACTCGCCAGTCCTGAAGGAAAAGTCTTTATATTATAAAGAAGGTTATTAATAGCGAATGATCGTTCTTCCCCACTCTCCGACCTTGAAGCACAACTCTTAATACATGTATTACACAGATGGTTTTAGCGATAATCGTTTCAACACCTTCAGGGCGCTTCTGAATCGCCAGTCCTTAAGTACATTTTTTTATGTCACAAAGTCGAGTAAAGTGAATATTCGTTACAGTAAACCAAGGATGCTTTTGGCTTGCTGACCCTGAAATTTAACTAATGTGAAAAGCAACCCAAAATGGTGCAAATCTCCCAGCGAGGTCACTTTGATGAAAGCCACATTCGTTATCAAGTGTTAAACAAGGGTTCACTTACTTCAAAAACACTTCCTCCATGGTGGTTGCAGTTGTACCAAAACTACAAATACCGAGTTCTTTCCCCCTAGATTCAATCTCCGTGAAGAGAGGAGCAAAGTTGGCTGACTGATCATCGGGCAGCAGGTAGGAGAGTTCAGCATTGATCTCACTCTCCATGACGGCTGTAGGGACGTGTTGCTGGACAACTGCCGTCACTGACGCCACCTGACAGGTGGGTTCCTTCACCATCACCAGGTGGTAGCCAGCTCCTGTTGGAATACATTTATTCATGTGAGCATATACTTGGTTGTAGTGACGGCGGACTCAGCAATATTCCAGCCATATGGAGGAGGTAGGTAAACAATCACCCAGACAATCCAGTGATCAACGGCATCCACGCAATTGGGATACGATGACATGTGTCAGCCAAGTCAGCGAGTCTGACCATCCGATCCCATTACTCGCCTATAACGACATGCATTATCTGCTGAAGACCAAATCTAACCCTGATCTTCAGGGATGACTATATCATGCATTAATAAGTGCATGATTGCTCAACACAATGCGAACAAGACGTCAAAGAAAACACAATAAATTACCATAAAGCTTTTTCAAGAAGTAAGATGTCCCACAGCATTTGACCACCCCTTCTGCCATGATGGCGATGCGGTCACCCAGGAGGTCAGCCTCATCCATGAAGTGAGTGGTCAGCAACATGGTCCGGCCCTGTCGGTTCCTCTGAAGGATGTCCCAGGTCTGTCGTCTGGCTGCAGGATCCATACCGGAAGTTGGCTCATCCAGGATAACGATCTGAACAAAGAATTATTACATGGACAAAATAGTGGCCCCGTGTATTCTCAATGAAACAATAATACAAACACACTGACATTGTGGTTATTATCTACGTTTACTTGAGACCACTTGGAAATGCAGACTCTAAGACAACCTTCTGTGAACTGATTGTGTGAGTCTAATAAGGTCATGTTTCAAATACTAGCCCTATCCCAGGTGGTGTGTGGTCCTGTGCACAGGTCACAAATCAGTTGGAAGTTAAGCAACGTTGAGCGCGGAGAGTCCTTTGATTGGTGACCGTGTCTGACAGCTTGTCTCTTGCTAGTTTCTAGAACTTCAGTCCTGCCCCACAACGAAGCACACGTGATACATGTGGTCTCACCTTGGGCAAGTGAGTTTGTTCAAAATTGCCTCTTTTCACCCAGCAGACAAATGGGTACCCGGAGGGATAGGTCATGTGACTATATACCGTCTAGCGTCTCACGGGCAGCTTGGGTTATCAGGGGTAATAATAATCAGATTGTTTGCGCGCATGCATTAGGCGTGGAGAAGTGCGCATGATAAATGGACTATTAATATTATTACTATTATTATTATATCCTGAGATATATGTCCGCCCTTAATCAGTATCTCGTGCTCTTTACTACATGTTACACATCCTTACTTTGCATTGAACAAATGAGGATTGTAATAACTATCTCTGACTGGGCGGCGGTTGAACAAACCCCTTTCATTGTGTACCAAACAACAATCTATCATTAGGTCCACATGTCTGAACTTGTGGGGAAGATCCAGGGTTAGAGGAAGGGTCACATGAAACTTATGCTTGTTGTAAGAGTCGACTAAAGGGAAAGGGTGGTCAGGCTTGATGACCTGACTGCATGTCATCGTATCCCAATAAGGTGGTCAGATGGTGTCAATTACAGTGTTGTCTAGTCCGTGTTATTTGAAGAACATCATCATACACCTGTTATACTGCTGAGTGTAGTGGAAAACCAGAAGAAAGACGTTTGAACCAAAATGATCGTGCATGATGAAACATAAGTTGGTCACTGTTAGACACTGATTTAATTACGCATTAATAATTGAATATTAATTTGCCTCACCTTCGAACCCCCGATGAGGGCAATCCCCACCGAAAGTTTCCTCTTCTGGCCTCCAGACAGATGCTGGGATTGTGTGTGTCGCTTCAAGTCCAACCCGACTTCGTGGATAATGCGATCAACTTCTGATTTGGCCTCGTGCTTCTGGCAGCCCTTCAACTACACACATATAGGGAGGTGATAACCTGGTCTATATTAATACATTAATGCCAAGGTATGCATGACAACATAACATACATGATATATTGTAACTGTATGACACTGTTTCTGTTCAGCGTCATTGGGGCTTTGTAAACATTGGGAAATCAAAACCAGGAACTTTTGTGCGACAAGCAGTAACCCCTTTGCCTTTGTATTCAAATGAATGCATGTATTGTCAGCTCTCAGCCGTGTAATGTTAAAACGCCCCATTCTGTTTTCAATCCATTTAACTGCTATATGATTATATAATATATGAATACAGGTAACTACAACAAATTCATTATTTCACTGATACTCAACAGAAAACGATGCAAATGCGATAATAATGACACTGGTACATACACACAAAAATGCTTTCATCGTGTGACTGTCATCGACGCATTTTCGGAGCAACGACAATTACAGAAGCACCTTGGGGTCATATTTTTATACTTGAAATTCTTGAAATATTAACTTGAAGTTTCAAGATATTAGTTTGAAATGTCAAAACTACCCATAATGACGTCTCAACATAAAATCATATGGAGCTATGGGCGTGGTTGGCTTTTACACCGAGTTATAATATCGAGTCTTGACGCTAGACTTTAGCGCGCCCTGTAAGTACGTACATCATATGGAGCTATGGGCGTGGTTGGCTTTTACACCCAGTTATAATATCGAGTCTTGACGCTAGACTTTGGCGCGCCCTGTAAGTACGTACATCAGCGAAGAATTCCATATGTTCCTGTACGGTAAGACTGTCGAACAGAATGTTGTGTTGAGGACATAATCCCAGGCTCTTCCTGACGCTCTGGATGTCTGTTCGAATGTCATGGCCATTGACGATTGCGGTTCCTCCAGATGGGGGAATGAAACCTACGGAAAAGAACGGAAACGTTTTATTAAGGTATAGAAGATTCAAGAAGTCTCTGGTTGTAACGAAACCTCGGAAATGTAAGTTCGGTTTATTAAAAAATTCATAGAAAAACAGTGTTACCGACATCCTGTTATTTCCCTGCTTTATTGTTTGCAGTGAGTGAGTGAGTATGGTTCTACATCGCTTTTAACAAGATCCCAGCAATATTACGGTGGGGGGACACCATAAAATGGCTTCAAACTTTGTACCTATGTGGGGAATCGAACCCTGGTCTTCCACGTGACGAGCAAACGCTTTAACCACTAGGCTACCCCTCCGCCCCTCTATTGTGTGCAGATGAACTTTCTGACGTGGCACCGTTGCTGTCGATAAGGTATTATTGTGTATAGCCGTCTGAGGGTAACCCCCAATAGGTCATCTAACTGTGTGGGGTTGATACAAAACGAGTACTTAAGTACGTGGAGTACTCAAAGTTCCTACTCACCAGTGAGAACTGACATTGTTGTTGTTTTCCCAGCGCCGTTGTGACCAAGTAGAACAGAGATCTGACCCTCGTACATATTGAGACTCATCCCATCCACAGCCACCTTCTTCTTAGACCCAGAACCAAACACCTGTTCACCACGAAACATATTAATGTTTACTTATCGCGTTTTAAGAACGGACTACTTAATGATGCGGACGTAAAATACTATTTGAATTTGAATAGAAGGTGAGACCAAAATGGTTTTGATGTCCCTTGGAAGATCATTACACTGGCAAATAGACAAAGCAAAGTGTGTGTGTGTGTGTGTGTGTGTGTACGTGTGTGTGTGTGTGTGTGCGTGTACGTGCGCACCTGCGTGCGTGTGTGTGCGTGCGTGCGTGTAAGGCTGTTTCTATCAGATCAATCATTTGCTCAATGCAACTCCCGTTTACAACTTACAATAGAGGTAGCATTACAGGTCATTTGGATCCGGGTTAGAACTGGTTTCCAGTAGCCCATGCTTGTTGTAAGAGGTGACTAACGGGATCGGGTGGTCAGGCTCGCTGACTCGGTTGACACATGTGATCGCATCTCAGTTCGGAAGACCGATGCTCATGCTGTCATTCACTGGATTGTCTGGTCCAGATTACATTATTTCCACACCGCTGTTATATTGTTGGTATGTTGCTGAGCAACAGCAGGACATTTTAGGTTATTACTCAATTGTTGAGTGAGTTGAGTTTTAGAAGTAGGCCTATTTTCGTCATATTACAGAGTGTCAGCTCACGACACACACACCGATTCCATCTCTATATTAATTACTGACCTTCCTTAGGTTCTTGATGCAAACACCTGGGCTGAGGCCAATTGGTTCCTTCTCAAAATGTCTCTCGTCGGCGTGCTTGACTTCACTTGCATCAACTTTGACTTTGTCTGCGCCACACCAATAAGTTCCCTTAAGGATAGAAATAACAGACTGAAGTATCCGGTTAATCGATACACATTAGTGACCATAGACTGTAACAATATGAAGAAGTTAAAACAATCTTCCATATTTATTTGTAAGGATTGTTTTGCACTAAAGCTTTAGGTTACATTTTTGAACATGATCAGTGTATAATTTGTTTCTTATATTGCCTCTATTAAGTCAGAACCCTCTGCTACTTGAACGGTCAAACACAACGTGTTTTCATATGCGGTAAAAACTGACTCGTTGTTCAAGACCATTTCACACATATTATCATGTAAAAATAATTACTGAGTCAGAAAGAAAGTTGATTTAAGCAGAGTCAGTGAGGAACTAAGCGACGCTTGTTGCAGCACAACCCTCAGAACCCAGATTCGAACTCGGGTTTTGACCTTGGCATGAGAGCACTTTAACAACACGTCTACGTCCGGTACTTCTTGATGGCAGGGAATAATGTTATTATGTTATTATAATGTTATTAACGCATATCCCAAGTGCACATATACAACACAAACAATCAACAACAAACGATAATAATATACAGATTTAACGCGTAAACATATCGGTGACTGACGTTTTTCGCAGATACCGTTACCCTTCCACTGCCTAATAATTCAGCTTTGGTTGTAGACGTCCCAGGGAGCTGAGAATGAAATTCTGTGCAAACCGGGGCATTATTGTAGAGCTTTAAGGTGTGGATTTGTCACATTACAATTATACATATCTAGTGTGACGTGCTGTGTGGGGCCTGTCATTGTCCTGTTGAAACAACTCCCTCTGGCGATCAATGATTGGAAGGAGGTGTGGGCGTAGGATTTCGTCACAGTACCGTTGAGCTGTCAGGTTGCGCTGGATCATCACCAAATCACTTCTCCTACGGCAGGTGATCGCTACCCACATCATAACACTGTCCCGGCCGAATCTGTCATTGTTGTCGAAGCACAGGGCCAAAATAAGGTCTCCTGGCAAGTAAACCAGCCTCTCTCAACCTGTTCCTGACGGTCTGTGCAGAAAGCCTCCTCAATCCGGGTATTTGTCGAGCGGTACTGGTCGCCGTAGCTATTCGATATGACGCAGGTGAAGTACCCGGATGTAGCGATCCTGCGCCGCAGTGGTCGCTCGAGGTCTCCCACTACGAGGGGCATCTGCTACCGAATTCTGCCGGCGAAATCTCTCCCATCGCCGTGAAATGGTGCTTTGGTGAACATTCATGCGTCGGACAACTGCACGTTGAGACTGGCCAGCTTTAAGCAAACCAATGGCGATATGACGGTTGGCTTCACTTAGACGTGGCATTTTGCGTTCGTCAACAATATTCCAAATACAGTGAATAATCGACAGACAGCGATCAACCTTTTATACCCATCATTGAGACTATCTGATCCCCTACTTTCACGTGCATTGCATGTGAATTGTGTATTCTGTGACACTACACGCCGAAATTGAAAATCATTCTGTTAAATACGGGTATTTTACGGATGGTGCGTTTTGTTGTGATGTTTCATAACATAAACACCAAAGGACTCATAAACAGAGCAAAACCATTTGTAAAATGAATCACGTTTTAATTCAATGCTACATGAAATTGCTATTTTCATGATGCATTTCTTTTTTGGGAGAGTATTTTATTTACATCACGAACATTCGGCACCAGACAGTATGCAAATCAAAGCGGACGTAAGCCCATAGGGCAATCGATGACCTCATTGCTTGTGAATGAATGCTTGAGTGTGTATGGTTTTACGACTCTTTTACCAATATTTCACAATATCAAGACGGGAGAACCCGAATTGACCTTCACACATTGTACTAATGTGGGTAAAGATGTTTGAGATACAGATACATGCAGATCGTCCGAGTCGAAGTGTAATGGCGGCAGCGGAATTAACCGAATGAATCCGAACGATCTGTTTAAACACTCGCTCGTAAAATCTCTGTACCTGTGTCAGGTATCGCGAGGCCTCTGTCAGCGACATTCACTCACCGTGACCAGAAAACCGGTTCCGAAATGGTTTCATTGTGTTCAGTAAGTGAGTGAGTATGGGTTTACGCCGCTTTTAGAAATAATTCATCAATATTACGTCGGGGGACACCGGAAATGGACTTAACACATTCACTGAAGAATAGAAACCGGGCTCTTGATGTGACGAGCGAACGTTATACCCACAAGGCTACCCCACTGTACCTTGAATAGGAGAAGTGTATGGTGCTGACAAACCTAAAAACACCTGCGATCATAGGTTCCTATCGCGCCAAAGGGACGCAACTCTACACAGCAAATTGAGACGACCACACCAACGGTCAACAAGACTAAAATTGAATAACACAAACTTCATTCCAAACTTGATCATATTGAGGAAGTAGAGAGGGAGGCAAACCCACTAGGATCAGAATAACATTCGAGTAATTCTTAATTATAAAATTCACCTTGCCCCGATGAAGAAGATACGTAACTTCGCAAAACCCGAATGTTATTCTGTGAAACTACACACGGTAAGAGAGATGTATACATGGTATGCAAGGCACTGAAGGCAGCTACAAGGTTATGATTCACTCACGTAAAGCGTCCCATGATCGTAATAATAATTATCACATGCACGACCATGTGGCGAGAACACATTAACCACTTGTTTGCAAACATACCTCAATGGACATCTCAGTTACTTTTAGAAGAGGTGAGGTGAGGTGAAATTGGGTTTAACGTCGTGCTTGAGAATATTTCGCTCATATGACGACGTGCATGCGTGTGTATGTGTATGTGCGGCTGCTTGTACTAGCCCAGACTTAACTGGTTTTATAGTGCTAGCCCACTGAGATACCATGCCGCAGTGAAACATGAATACCCCACTCAGACACATTATACTGACTCCGAGCCGACCAGTCCTTGTTGTACCCATTAATGCCGAGCGCCAGGCAGGGACCAACAAGTACCATATTTTAACGTCTTTTGGTATGACGCGGTCGGGGATCGAACCCGCGACCTTCCGCTCTTCGGGCGGACACTTTTAGAAGAGGAAATGTTAGTTAATGTAGACAACCAATAGGAGTGCAGTATTAGATCTGGTGAAGGGTAACAACATATTAGTTATAAATATAAATGACGTCAAATTTCACCTTCAATATTCGATTATATCCGTATTTGATGCTGTTGTTCATGCACCACAAGACAAACTAACAATTGGTAACCATAGTTACATGGACAAAAACCAACAACAATATGACATTATAATGTAAATGTAATGTGAACTAAATTTATAAATCCTCTCCCACCCTACACAATAACCTCAAAGATTTAAAGAATATTTTGAAACCTGCGATTTAGGCCCTAAGAATGTTTGAACTTAAGACAACACAATCAAACCACTGTTTCACGTGCGACGAAAATATTCAACTGAAAACAGCCGTTGTGTAAATCCATATTCAACATCTGGAAATTCAATGGGATATGATAGGTAGTTGTTTTGACCACTTGATCGTAGTAACGTAGTAATTGACATCAGTTCTGAAAACCATCTGTGATAATTATTATCCACATATTTATCCCATATGGTTACGGACCTACCCATATCATTTGTGTTATTGTGCCATCATATGTTATGTTTGGCCTCAAATCCAGCAATAGGTGTTTTGTTGGGATTTTTTTTATCAAATAATTAGTTTTTTTCTGACTTTTTGTAGTGTTTGTCCTTCTATAACGGATAAGCATATTTCAAATGCAGCGCAGCATTGCTCCCAGGGAGCTGAGAAAGAAATTCACGCATACACTGAAATATATACTGTAACATTAGTTTAGTAACAATGTTTGGATTTCGCGCTGTATAAAATATGCATGATATTATCATTTGTCATTAACTTTATATTTAGGTTTGACCTCAAAGTAAATTAGAAAGTGTTTTGAAACACAGACACATTTGTATTCCACAAAAATAACGTATTAATGTATATATGAAATAATCATCGTAATCATGGATTATTCGTCCCAAAAATACTTCTTGTTCTTAATTCCTAAGCGTGGGTGGAAGGCTTCCAGCAGCATATTACGAGGGACAGATAAAAGTAGCATGCGAGTTGCAGAAGATGTCATTTTCATAAAAAAGATTCCTTGATATTGCAATGTTACGATACTGGACAGCAATGTAACTATTTATGTGTAAATTAGCTGATCAACATTAAGCAATGCTCAGAGGAAACTACTCAAAATAATTCATTAATATTCATGCTATTGTGGGAACAAGTATTTCTTTAAAGGGAAAAATAAATAGAACCTTTGATGAATATCTTATTTCTTCCCCTGTAATACTAAATGATATATCATTGCATCTAGACTTGATGTGGTGTCTTTAGAATTATATGAGTCATTAAGTTAAATAACGTATGTTAGGATAAACTGTGTAATATTATTTTGAAGTGCTATTGTTACATAACAACTAAATGCAAGCAACCACACACACAGAAGAAACCAACAAAGTCAAATAAAATATATATTACATTTTTCGATCGCCAAATCTAGAAAAAAATGTAAAAGCAAAACTACAAATTAAAACGAATCGTTCAACATCCTCACTGCATGTACATCGCATGACAGTGATAAATGTGAATGAAACATATAGCATGTACTTAGCAAGTACATTGCATGGTAGTGCAAAACGTGAGTGAAATAAACACGTGACAAAAACAGAGATTTGACACTCGTGATATACAACAATTACTATAAACAGCATGTCACGTGAATTGTGATATATAACATTTCACTGACAGACTACAAACAATATAGTAGGTCACGCGAATGTAACCTTTGAGTTGAAGGAGGTCACTGGACTAGACATTCTTTGACAGTGTGATAAGTCCTATATCAGGACGGAGAACGAGGAGTGTACGATCTTTATCAGTGTTGCCAGTATGCCAGTGGTAGGTATGTTTAGGTACAGGTGACAAGGTGTGATCAGTGTTATGAAAGCTGCTAGCTACCCTTGTATAACACTGAGATAAGGTTTCTTCTGGCAGACACGTTTATTATAACCACATGAGTAGGAAGACTCATGTTTAAGATGTTGTATAATCTGTGTCACGCGTGCAATGAATGAGATATAGGTCATATTTAAGAGATGCGTAACAATAATAACAATAATTGAACAATAATTGAAACCAGCCATGTTTTTCGCGAACTTTGGCATCAGCGCTGATTTCGAGAGTTCTATTCCGAATGCTTATCACGTTTTGCCTTTTACGCTTATAGAATATGTTTTGACAGATATTTTTTAGAAAAGTAAATGTTATGTAAATCGGGAGTAGAACGTTTCGAGTGACAGTGGAACCTCGTTGTTCTGGAATATAGCATCCCAGGTAAAGTTCATATTAACCCATTTTTGATTAATGAAGTGTGGATATTGTGTAACTGTAGCCCTGGTCCATATCGTATCAGCTGTTCTCTCATACTCACTAATACAGTGCAACTCCACATATAGAGAATATACAAAACTCTACATAGAGAATACATGTACATAATACACAATTCGTGTGGACTGACATTGTTTGAGAATATTGTCGTATACGGAAGTCTGAACAGCCGGAGAAACGAAAATATACACGTTTGAATGTGACAATTAAAAAAAACCCAAACAATTATTCGATAATGTAATTGATATGATTATCTAAGGCCATATTACATACAGTACATCAATGGGTATCTCACAACAGAGGGCGTGCACATGGCTTCTCATAAAACCGGTGACCAGTAATTTCACACACACAGCAATAAAAAGAGTGGACATATACTTCGTTTATACCGGCAGTATTCATGTAAGTTTCAGCTTTACTGTTTTAGATACACATATGCCTTGATTATAGGGAAATAAATTAAACATGTCATTTTCAGATATATAATTCACTGAAGTGAAACATCGAATATGAAATATCGATTTTTAATGCGGCTGGACAGGTGAATACAATATGTAACCTAGGTGACGACACAAACATTCGCTCATGCTATCGACCACTGGTGTGTCTGTCCCAGACGCTGGTATACAGACTCGAACATTGCGTAAAACAACACACGGACAATTTCAGTAATGAACCGGTTCACTTACGGTGAAAGGAAAGTACCACGGTTTGGGCACGCCGAACTCGCCTGGCCGGACATTGTCCACGTACCACGTGATGACCAGATGGATGGCGGTGTCGCCTAGCAACATGATCATTGCGTCCAGGAGAGAGTAGTTGTCGTCAACAATTGCTGGGCTGGAGAAGTTGTTCCACTGTGCCCCCGCACCTGAAACAAATGCGACGTATGTCTGTCAGGGATGAGGTTGTTTAATTCTCTATGGGGAAAATCCATGTTGATTAGCATACATAAGTGTGGGGTAACTGGGTACCACGATGCTTTAGGGAATCAGGATATGTTTAACAGATCCTGTTGAGGAAAGTTATGGAATGTATAGAGATGTCCTGGGATCTTTGGTCAGCAGTAACGAGAACTATAATCTGGTTTTAATGAGAGTGATGTGCAGAACAGTTGAGGTGAAACTGTCTACTGAGTCACAGTTATGTGGCTATGTAATGGTGACGTAATAGAAACTTTAGATCGTGGGTTCGAACCCGATTCTCGTGGGGATTTTCTACCATAGCACACACACGCAAGCGGATACACGCGCTCCCTCCCTCACTCACTCGCTCCTCTTCCAAAATTGTCAATTTTTTGTCAGATCATTATGACATTGTTTAACCTATTAAGTAACTCGCTCGTCACTGAACTGTACATATAAACTGAGGTTCAAAAGAAAGTACACACCTGATTCTTTGGTAAAATATTTTCTTAAAAACAGCATTGATATTTAAAAAGTGTTTTGACTCTGCCTTGTCACCAACATTCTTTAAGTGTTTCCAAAACACCACAGATATGTACCCAATTACAACATTGCTAGCAAAATATTTAGTCTTTTTTTTGAATAGTCTCAAAACACTAGGTGTGTACTTTCTTAAGTACGTCAGTATATTATTACCCTAGTGAATATAAATGCATGCATCAGGGTTCGAAATACCCCATATATTAGTGTGCCATGGCACGGTCAATATTGAAATGGCACGGATAAAATATGTTCTCGGTGCCCTTTTGACACGCCTAATGTTTTAGAGACAAAACTCATATTTAGTCATTTAATCCCCAAAACAATTATTTTTTTCCAAATTGAATAATACCATACATATTTGAATGCTCGTAAACCCATTTCTTTATTTAACAATAAATTTCAAATGATCATCATCATTGTCATTTATTCTAAAAACGTGGGCGTACTCGATTTCTTAAAGGCACACCTAAAATATTTGTCTGGTGCCCTAAGGCACACTTAGAATAAAATGTATTTCTATCTCTGATGCATACTCGGTAAGGCTGTTTTCTATCTATCCTGTATATTAATTGTGTTGCTGATAGGTCTCATACTTCTGATGCTGCTAACGGCCTGAGTGTAAATTAAAATATAGGCTCAAACAAAACAATTGCTGTATCAGGTACCTGTTCCATCATTATACAGAGGTATGTCTTGACATTGATTCGACCTAACAGTGTCCAGGGTGCCGTTCCACTAACCGATCTTATCTAAGATCAATCTTAGCAAGTTACGCCAATTTTACAATCGTCTTAGCTAAAAGTTACAGCCGTTCCACTAACCGATCTTAGGCCGATCGTAGCCGGTCCCGATCTTACGATCCGACCCAAGCTTAGATCGAGACTCTTTCGTGCGACAGATAGAGGAATGCGAGGAACTAGTTATCTCCCTTTGCATAGTCTAGCAAATGATGGAAGTAGTTTACGAACCAACTGAGTGAGTGAGTGAGTTTAGATTTACGCCGCACTCAGCAATAGTCCCGCTATATGGCGGCGGTCTGTAAATAATCTAGCTAAGATGCATAGCGTTCACTAACATGAGCGTTCATGTCAGTGAACGCTATGTATCTTATCTATAAATAATCGAGTCTGGACCAGACAATACAGTGATCAACAGCATGAGCATCGATCTGCGCATTTGGGAACCGATGACATGTGTCAACCAAGTCAGCGAGCCTGACCACCCGATCCCGTAAGTTCAATATTCTAACCCGGTCCTTCAAGGGTAGTTTTCCAACCAAGTGTAAACGTGGAGAAAAAACATAGAGCAAAATATTAGGGTAGTTAGCACCTTGGCTTCAGGTGCAAGTGTGTGTGAACGCTGGGTATCAGGCATAATATAATAATAATAAATGCATATTTATAGTGCGCCTATTCCACATCCTGGGGCATGCCCAAAGCGTTATGTACAGATAATTTACACGAGAGTATTTACAGCCGAGACTGAGAACAGGTTTTAAGTCTGAACTTCAAAAATGTCAATTGTGTCAGAGCTTTTAATATGTGCCTGAACCTCGTCAATCAGAATAAACAAGCCGTGAGGAGGCTATATATATAACGTATGGAGAATCTGTCAGTGGTCACCCTGGGAGCCGTTCCACTAACCGATCTTAGCCCTATGCCATTCGTAAACCCCTAAAATCCCAATCTTAGCGTGACGTTACGATCGGCATACCGTTCCACTAACCAATCTTACCTAAGTCAATCGTAAAGTTAAGATTCAAAGTCTAAGTTGCTCATGACCAACTTAGGATAGCTAAAATCAATCGTAGAGAAACCAAAATGGTGGCTTTCCTATTCTATGTGAAAAATAAGTGCGAGCATTTCATCGTGAGCGTCCCCTAAAGTCCCCCATGAAATGAATTTGTATATTTCTGTGATGTAAACAAACACTGCACTGAAGCCTTACAAATGTCAGGACAGTCTGACCACTGTCGTCATGGGAACACAACCGAGCGAGTCGGTGTAACACATTTGTACAACAATATTGCAAAGTCATGGTTAAGAATAGGGACAGCCGTGAAGTGAACAATGTTCTGAAGCAAAAAGATACAAATATGCTTAATTTCACTGCGCATATTTGGTGGGGGATTCTAAAGGCAAGCCGCGTGTGATTCAAGATTAAATTACATTTGTGACGTCATTCCATTGTCTGCTCGCTCCATTACTTTTCAGGAATGGAGCGATGTGTACCAGCTTCAAATTAAAGACTTCATTTTGTCATTTTGACATATAAATTTGATAACAGAAATATTCCCAATACTTTGAATGTAATTTAAGTAGTGTAATATCCTCGTAACTTTCCATTCCTTAAAAACAATGTGCCTCTCGCACGAAAGAGTCTCGATCTAAGCTTGGATCGGATCGTAAGATCGGGACCGGCTACGATCGGCCTAAGATCGGTTAGTGGAACGGGTGTAACGTTTAGCTAAGACGATTGTAAAATTGGCGTAACTTGCTAAGATTGATCTGAGTTAAGATCGGTTAGTGGAACGGCACCCAGGACTCCAGGACTACTCACCAGTGGGGCACGTCGTCATATGAGCGAAACATTCTCAAGCACGACGTTAAACCCAATTTCACCTCACCTCACTTTACCTTTGGGAGGTAGGGTAGTCTAATGGTTAAAGCGTTCCCTCGTCACCTGAAGACTCGGGTTCGATTCCCCTGTCAAGGATACAATGTGTGGAGTCTGTTGTCCCCCGCCGTGATATTGCTGGAATACTGCCAAAAGCGACGTAAAACTACACTCACTCACTCATTCACTCACTCACCAGTCCCTTCGTACAAGGAGATGACATTCGCCCCGTAGGCCATGGCCATATTCAGGAGGATGGAGACGCCCAGCTTCTCGGGGCGAGACATAGTTTCGTAGCGAGATTGGAGGAAGAAGTAGGGGAAGTAGGTGAAGAAGAAGAGGATCCCTGCAATAGCTGCACCCACGTTGGCTGAAATCATATGCCTATGTTTTAGGACTGCATAGGATTACCGGTATATCGCAATGTGCATTTCAGACGATACGCGTTGCAATACTTATCTGCGAACCGGTACATTAAGTGAAGAACACATGGAGTTTTTGTGAATACCTTTATAGTTTAAATTAAAATCTACACAGATTCATTTCAATGTTTTCCTTCGTTATTCAATGACAAAAATAGAAAATAGAATCCCTAACTAGGCAACCCAATTTTGAGATTGCTGTTATCAGAACCATAACATGTATGTTTAGGGACTTATAATGTAGAAAAACAGATTGACATGCACAATTAGTTTCACTCACTGTCAAACACTTAAGATCCCTATATATCGCAATACGGATACCTGAATCGCAATAATTGCAATACAATATATTTGCCAATACACAGCCCTAGCATGCATTACACGAATATTTTTCAAATAACTATGTGTTTTATTCACTCGTTGTGTTACTGAATGTGTATGTTGTTCTAAGCCGCACACAGCTTATTTCAATGTTCCATTAAAAATGCGAATGATGAGAGATGCCTCCCTCATTAAATCAGTTACCAAGGCTGCAACGGACTTTTACTGTACAAAACATGTTGATTAAATTCAGTATTTAAGTGAGGCAATCGCATAGTTGTCAAAAACACGTGTAAAATGTAACCGAGGAAATTGTTGATACCAGTTAAGTACATATTGACTACATAAACCTCGATTGAATAAATATTTTTGGAAAATGATTTCATTTAAAAAGTATTCTGTATAAGTCTTTCTGCTATGTTCATGCCTCGTATAATAGATTGCTTATGTAGTCTATTGTTTAATATAACGTGGTATTGTTTTATATGAGTTATGTCCCCTTCTTACCTTTCTGTGCGAACACACTGATCATAAAACAGAATGAAACGACACACACGCCGTAGCACAGGAGAAACACGAAGAGCAGAGAGGGGTCACTTTCGGCTAAGACCGGACCGTTCGCGCTGATGCTAATGCCGCATAGCAGTGTGTAGACCGCCATCACCAGCACGATGTAGATGAAGACCGTCAGAAACCAAGACATCCAATGTGCAGCGGCACTCAAGCCCATCAACTTCATGGACTCCTAATGACAAGACAAGGCGTGTTTGTTTCTGAGAGTGTGAAGACTTTATCGTTTTGTTTGTTGAAAGATATACTCAACAAGGTTACTGCCGTTGATGACGATCTCAAATTAATCGAATCTGGACCTTGCCAACAGGGTAGTAGGTTACGCAACTAATCGAGTCCTCGTCACATTGAAAAACACCTATTTCTCACCTTTATCATCTCGCATTCAGTGTGCTGTGACGGGTGGAATTATTGGGCCCTGCTGAACAAAATGTTCTTCTTGCTAAGACCAGGATACAGGGACCCGTTTCACAAAGCTATAGTAGCGCTAAGACCTCCTATACTGTAACATGGACTTACGACAGTCGTAGTGCTACGATAGCTTTCTGAATTGGGGCCCAGTTAGAAATCGTTACTTTCGTGGGATCGCTAGGATCGTTTTGATGAACTGACCTACTAAATACACTAAACGCCAAAAGAAACGTTACCCTTCTACCTTTATGAATTACTGAAAAACTATCAAAGATATGTGAGAAGGTATTAGTTTACAAGATAGCTTAACAATACACCTTTATGCAAATCACGAAAACAATTCTCAAAAGCATTCATATTTAGGTGAAATGCATCTTTTTGAGAAGAGTTAAATTGTCCTATATTCGTCCATGCCGAAATAAAACCAATAACAGTGATTTAAAGTCCAAAGGAACGGTTGAAATAAAATTCTCTTTTGGAACAAAGTTAAACCATTTAAAGGCACCATTTTCAACTATTTACACAAGAAACAACTGTTGTAGAGTGTGTAAAATTGTAAAATAATCATTGCTATGATTTCAGTCTTTTAAAACATTTTCTGCTAATTTGCATTTGTGAAAACAAGTAAAACGTGTCTTTGATATTGTGAAAAAATGTTTAGGAACATCTAAAATTATCTTTGTTTACATTTTTGCTTGCAAAGTAACATTTTTCCATTTTTTGTTTACACATAGCAATATCAACTGCCAAAACGCAGCAATATTCAAGCATTATTTGCATCTATTTCACATGTAGAATGATTCTGTAAGGTATGAAGAGAGCCTAGAATACATGATATGATACACAAGTACGAGAAAGATGCCCCGATTAACTGCTGAAGAGAGAGAGAAAGAGCCACTGGGATGGTGCAGATGGGGTGGACATACAATGCTGTTGCCAACGCCCTTGGATGCCACCGTAGCACGGTTATAAGACTTATTCAGAGCTTCAGACAGACTGGGGTCTCCATAGACAGACCAAGAAGTTGGACGTCCACGCATCACAAAGCCAGCTGAATATAGGTACCTCCGTCATTAAGGAAGGAGGGTAACGTTTCTTTTGGCGTTAAGTGTATATATACCTTAACTTAATCTCACAACTGTCGTAACATTAAGGCCGTTTTGTAGACAATTTGTTAGTACCAGCTATGTGGCGCCAAGTCTGCACCAGACAATCTAGTGATCAGCATCGATACGATGACGTGTCAACCAAGTCAGCGAGCATGACCACCTGATCCCGTCAGTCGCCTCTTACGACAAGCATGGATTGCTGAAGACCAATTCTAAACCGGATTTTCATGGGTCCGTGTCACTTAAAACAATCTGAAAATCCTACCTTCAGCTTTCTCTCCTTTTCGTAGACAATGCCTTTGGTCGTTTGAATTGTACAGAGGATGAAACTGAGGAGGAGGAATAGCGGGAACTGGTTCTGCAAGACTTGGATCATGGGGTCCACGATGTACGGCGGATAGGGCATGCGCATCAGGCGAATGTCAAGGCCATCAATGGTGCTGGAGGCGGAAGAATTATGCGTTTTGATGATGGCCGCATCCACGAGACGCTGCACCCACAGAAAACCGGACCCTTTGTAATCTGTAAGCATACATGCGAGTCTATACCTATCACTTCATAGCCAAATTCACAATTCTGTTTGCTAATAAATAATAGCAAATCCCTAATATGGACAACACTACCTCAAATTAAGATAGATCATCTTTTCGGGGGATTGTCAGAAATTAAGCTTAAGAACGAGGTCCAGAATATGGTTAAAGCGTTCGCTCGTCACGCCAAAGACCCGGGTACAATGTCCGAAACCCATTTCTGGTGTCCTCCTCCTTGCTAAATGCGGCGTAAAACTATACTCTTGGATCTCTCAAAAATATTTTTCTGTGATTTTTTATGACTGCAACCTATTTTTCTGACAGCATCCCAAACCGTCAAAAGTTCGGCACAGACTCGATCCCCTGTACTATTTCTTGTGTGAAACGTCGATCATCACTGGTTTGTCTAGAATGTCTGCAGGATCCCCAAACTATATTGCGGCGTAAAATAACACACATATCACCACTAACCTGGAGTAGAGTCACCTCGGGGAGAGTTGGTCTGGAAAAATGGGAAGGTCTGTCGCGTCCGCCATCTGTCGTCCTCTGACAGTATCCGGGGTCGAACAGCGTACGTCAACTTTTGGGGTAGAGCAGTGTCGTCAATGGCAACGTTGAACTGCACTGCGCATGTGAGGTTTTTGGAGTTGAAGGAAAAATAATCCAACATGGTTTCCTCGGTTGGAAATCCCATCATTTCGACTGAGAAAATAAAGGCATCATCATCATCATCATCATCATCAACAACAACAACATCCGTAAACAAAAAACAAGCTGATAACAAATCTAAACTAATCTACTTAATATAATTTAGTGCTTTAGTATATGGTATACTTGGTCCAGTTACGGATTTGGATATTCTTGGATAAATCAAGATGTTGATTGTGTGGAAGACTTCTTGTTGAAATTCAAGTTTAAATGTATTAATATTGATCACCTATTGTACTTTGAACATCTTCAAAAGTATCCAAGTTTAACAATATACAGATTTGTAAAATGTTTTAATAGGTTCGAAGACTATTTATCACTAGTTACTATTAAGCCATACAGAATTGCCCTTTCACAGCTTAGATCCTCAGCACATGATCTTATGATTTCTGAAGGTAGAAAACTTCACATTCCAAGAAGTGAAAGGTTATGTCCTTTGTGTATAATACCTTGTTTAGAGAACGAGTATCACTTTTGCCTTATTTGTCCTTTCTACCAAGGTCTTAGAGAAAATATATTACCAAAATGCTACAATAATCACCCATGTGAAGCAACATTTATTCAACTTGTGACATCTACAGATGCAAGTATTGTCACTTGTTTAGCCAAGTCTGTTTTCCTTGCTTTCAAGAAGCCCAGGAAGTTCCTCCAGTGTCGTGACAATGTATAAATGTATCAATGTGTACCACCATGACGCTACCTCTGTTTTTGCGATGTGAATTGATGATGTAATTGTATACTGGGCCTGTGGCTTATTTACCGAATAAACATACTACTTGGTTTACTATATACACTTTGTATAATATTACATATATTTGTTCACTTTCTAAATTTCAAATAATGCATCTGATGTCTTGTTCAAATATAATATATCATTTATACCTAATTGGAAACTGATCGCCTCCGTGGTGTAGTGGTCAGAGCGTCCGCCCGGAAATCGGAAGGTCGCGGGTTCGACCCTCGGCCTCGTCATACCGAAAGACGTTAAAATATGGTTCTTGTTGGTCCCTGCCTGGCACTCGGCATTAATGGGTACAACAAGGACTGGTCGGCTCGGAGTTAGTATAATGTGTCTGAGTGGGGAATTCATGCTTAACTGCGGCCTGGTATCTCAGTGGGCTAGCACTATAAAACCAGCTTCAGTCTGGGCTAGTACAAGCATCCACACACACACACACACACACACACACACACACACACGCATAGGAGAAATATGGGTTGTTACTACAACAGTAAATCAATCAACTGATTGTTACAAAGTGAAAATGAATTTGTTGGTATCATTTTTTCACTATACTCAAGTAGCGCGCAAGGCATAAGACCGTATTTGTATTTTTTTCTTCAAGAATTTAATCTGATAAAAATTCCACTGAACTGTTCATGTCGTGTATGATAAATTCATTCTTGCCGTAGATACGCTTACGATTTACTTACCGTTGTGATTTGGACCCCTCCCCACATAGATGAGGTTTTATTTGAATGGAAGAACAAGCACAGTCTATCAACTGAGGGGGCATTTCTCTGTTTTCCTGTTTTAAATTAACATAAGTAAACCTACATATATCACGGGTATAAGATATTGCTCTGTCAGAAAATACATCTCAACATTAAACACTGATTTAAGCTGCCCATAGGACTTGCTATAGAAACATTTCTGCAGCAGCAAGCCAGTCTTGTCAAAATGGGTACGTTTGTGTGAAGCCCATTTCTGGTGTCCCCCGCCGTGATGTTGCTGGAATATTGCTAAAAGCGGCGTAAAACCAAACTCAGTCAGTCTTGTCAAAAACTGTCGTAAACATCTGCTTAGATACTATTATTATTTTTTTTCCATAACACATATCCACACCATCTCATGTTCAGAGTGAAACAAAATATTCCCTAATGGGTGTTATTAAAGTTACAGATAGCCCTACGAGCCATTACCACCACGAATGGGCACTGTGTTGACTGTGCCTGACACCGAAAGCAGCCTGACAACTCCGGGTGTGGTATTTCTTCATGGCCCACTAATATCTAAAGTCACGGATGAGCACGGTTTGCGTAAAACTCATTCTGATAGTTTGTTTCAGCCTAGAGCAGCACACGGCTGATACAATGCCAGTCCGACGTTGAATCAGAGTGAGTGAGTTTAGTTTTACGCCGCACTCAGCGTTAGTGTAGCCATATGGAAGTGGTCTGTAAATAATCGCATCTGGACAAGACGTTCCAGTGATCTATGCAATTGAGATACGATGACATGTGTCAACCAAGTCAGCAAGCCTGACTACCCGATCCCGTTAGTCTCCTCTTTCGACAAGCATAGCTTTGTTACTGAAGATCAATTCTAACCCGGATCTTCACGGGTCTCAGATTGAATGTTTTATACTGGCATGTTACATTTACCTTGAATATCCGTCTTATGGGTAGGAGATCTACTTAGATGAGGTTGGTACCCAAATGGTAATGCGTCCCGATTTTTTCTCGTTTTGAATCTATAGAGATCTAAGAGTGAGTGAGTTAAGATTTCTAGTCACATCGGCAGTATTTCAGCCATATTGTGACTAAAACAGTTACACATTCATGACATATAAACCCAGAATATAAACACATGTTGACGAACTACATTATAACAACCAGAAAATCACAGACACAGATGTAAAAATTAGCATGTAAATAAAAAAACATACACAATACAACATATAAGCTACAGATCATCAGCAACTGAAGGTAGATCACCATACTAAGAACCATGGGGTGTTACGTTATGTATGCTTCCTGCAAGGACCCCAGCTAGATTTACACCATCACCTCCGCCGCTGGCGATTGTGCTATGCATTAATTTGCAAAAGATTAAGACTGACTGCCTGAGTTTGGTTTTACGCCGCTTTTAGCAATATTCCAGCAACATCACGGCGGGGGACACCAGAAATGTGCATCACACATTATACCCATGTGGGGATTCGAACCCGGGTCTTCGGCGTGACGAGCCAACGCTTTAACCATTAGGCTACCCCACCGCCCCCGTTTATTGAAAGACAAACAAACAGTTATTACATGATAACTGACCTGGTTAAAAAGATCCTTCATTGTTTTTACACTGCAATATTGATCAAATGTAAAGCAAACATCAATACAGTCAAGCAGGACATGCTTGGCCGTGATTATTTCATCACAAGGGATACAGAATGGAGGAGCCCCACCTTTCAGCGGGTACTAGTATTCATGAGTATATCTAGAATGACCAGTACGGCATCGTCGCATAATAACTCCTTCAAATCTGGACAGACAACCCAAGTAGGTATAACCAATAGTTGGTTTAATTTTTTGTAATATATATATACCCACTTGTGTGTCCCAAGTCGTTTGCATTATATCGCGGATGATCTAATGATCGGTTTGTAATCAGTATAATGAAGTAGAACTGGTGTCCAATATTTGTTGAGTGCTGCGTTACATAATGTAATAATTTCAATTAAAAGTAGATGTTTAGAAGACATGTTTTGATAGCCTGAAGACACAAGAGAGAATCTGAAAATATGACGAACAGTGTATATCTAGATTAGTTATTTATATATTCAAGAGCCCTTAGTATGGCATTAGCCTCTGCTGTAAAAATGGAGTGAGTGAGTGAGTTTAGTTTTACGCCGCTTTTAGCAGTATTCCAGCAATATCACGGCGGGGTCACCAAAAATGGGCTTCACACATAGTACCCATGTGGGGAATCGAACCCGGGTTTTCGGCGTGACGAGCGAACGCTTTAACCACTAGGCTACCCCACCGCTCCTGTAAAAATGGAGGCGCCATCCGATAATCTTGAAGATATTGCTCTGGATCCAATGACAGTTTCACTAGCAACTGTGTCACCATCCTTGGATCCATGTGTAAGATAGATGTGAAACTGTTATAAGTGTTTACTAATTCATTATACTGTTGTTGGTAAATAAGTTGGTTTGTTTCAGACTTCAGTTTAGCTAATGTTAGGTGCACCCTTGGCCCTACTAACTGCAATGGTGGATTAGAGAAAAGCTGAGTTTGGGCTATATTTTCGAGATAGATTTAAGCTGCAGAAACAGCAGATTGTATTCGTATTCCAAGTGGTGGAATAAGTGATGAGATCTGAGAACCCGGTCTAACACATCTGCTGGAGAACTGGTTTCCTCGGAACCACCCACCTTTCTGACCATTCTACTCAAGCCGAAATAGATATTTACATAATGTAATGCACAATAAAATAGCCTTGCTATTCATCGGTATAAGCAAAAGTATTTTATCGTGTTTTAACGGTCATACACACACACACACACGCACGCACGCACACACGCACGCGCTCACCGCACTCAGCAATAATCCAGCTATTGATTAACAGATATTAAGGTAGAGGCGATGCATCACGTCCAGGTTGTCATTATCTATTGTTTTCTATGGTGTTATGTAATTGTCCACGAAACAGGAACCCCAGTAGCCCTAATAACAGCATATGACAACGTTCAGCCTCCTAATTAGCTGCACACAGACTCCATCATGAGTATTCTTGAGCAATCTCGGCAGGTTCAGGTTGTCATGGTAACTGGTAAATATGAGTATCTGGATGTGTGTTAATTACCATAATTAATGAAGAAATATGGGTATACATGAAGGTTTCACAACTGCATGCAGTGAAATAAAGACCAGTCCTAATTCGCATCTTCACGGGAGGTCACCAAAGGAAGGATTTACCGTTATATTACAAAGGTGATTTACTGAAGCTACGTCACAGTATTATAAAATATTAGTCCTTAAAGGATTGCGCCGCTTCAGAAGAATGACTGATATGTAATTATTTCTTGTATTGACAAAGGTGTAAGCTTTGGGTTTACTCTTATTAATCTGTGTTCATTACAGTCATTTGTATTCCGATGCGTGTGAACAGCGAATCATCTTCAGATGATATTTCAGTGTTAATTTGGGACATGTAGAATACATGTCGAGTGTTGTTTAGACAAGGATTGTGTGCAGGGTTGTGTTTGATTATCTCA